ACACCCTCCGATCATTGCCACCGTCTTCCTGTCCGCAGCTCGGGCACACATCGCTTCGCAATGAATGATGTTTCCACCATTTGGAGGTGCAGAGTTTTAGCAGCAGCTGCTTGTGTCTCTGAGGGCAATCAAGGTGGATTCCAGGCGCTGGATGTATGAACGTGCGTTCACAAACTCGGACTTCCAAGTAACGCCTTCCAGCAGCTGTCGCCCCAAGCCTCAGAGTTTCCTCATCAGCTATTTGGCTGGCTTCTGCCTTCAATGTGGTGGTTCTGCTGTTGACTAAGTCAACATTTCTATTGTGCAGGTCACATACAAATGGATGAAAGAACAGATTTTACGCATTCTAGAGTGCTAGGAGCTTTCCCACAGGTGTTAATACAATAAAATCAAACAACCTATCTACCCCAGAAATATTGTGGCCAAAATGTTGTACTTGCTCTTGTTAACTGTTTTTGGTCACCTTTCTCCTACCTTGTCTGACCTTGTTCATTGATTAACCCCTGGTGCCTTTCATGTGAGTTGTTTTGCTACATGAAAGGTGTGTATACAAGTTCAAGTTGTTAAATAAGCTTTTTTTTTAAAACTGAGTTTTTAACTCCTGTAAAGTTCTGTACATGTTGTTGGCATTCCCTCAATTCTATACTTCACCATTTGGAGGAATAGCTAGAAAAACTGGAAGATACAACCAATATTATTCCAAAATTGTATTGTCCTGGACGAGTATAGTGCTGGTGAACTAAAACTGCCTTTAGTATGCTCCACTTACATGCCTTAACCCCAGTTTCAAAAAGTATGACATTATCCCATTTTCGCCCACAGCCATTCTGAGTTGTCTCTGGGTAAGATTGTCAACTTGGGGTGTGTGTGTGATGGGGGTGGGGGGGCTAAACCACTGGGAGCTGACTTTGAGACTCTTCTAGGCAGCAGAAAATACTTCTCAGCCTTCCAGTTTGCTGCATTCAAATTCAGACCTTAGAGGTAAAGGCGACTACTCTTCTCATTTATTCCATTTTAATACTTTCCTTGAAGTATGCTATTTTTGCCATTACATTTTTTAAACCATTCAACTGTATTCTATGACAATAACTTAACTCCCAATCAGAGCTCTGCAGCTTGTAATCTCTCCCGCACTTGACCTTGTGAGTTCTTCATCACCACCATTTTAGCTCCACTGGCTCCCTGCACCTAACAGATCAACTTTAAAATCATTATCCTGTATTTTAAATACCTCCATTGCCTTGCAACATTCTATCTGAGATCCCCTGTGACCATACTCCCTCTGCCAACTCTGGCCATTTCCTCCACACTCCCCCCACCCCTCCCCTATGCACTCTTTGTGCCCACCATTGGTGAGCAAGCCTTAAGTCACATTACTACCACTGAAACTTTCCCAAAATCCTTCTGCTGTGGCTCTTCCCTCTCTGATTTCAAGTCCTGCGTAAAAATTTACCTCTGACTGCCACCTGTTCCCCTCCTCGTTCCCTCTCAGCTCAGGCTCATGCTCAGTCTTTGTAAAGTGCTCTGACAAAAGCGCTGTGTAAGTGTACATTATTGTACTATAATTAGTATTTTCAGTAGAACACGTAGAATATTATTTTGGGTCCCATGTTAATATAGAATTGCCCCTTGTGAAATGTGTGTAGCTTCAAAGGCAGAATTACAGATATAGAATACGTGTATTTTGGTTGGATGAGAGTTGATTTGTTTCATGGCCGTACCTTAACATTATATGTGGGGGGAACAAAAGTATTGTGATTGTGGCCTGCATATTAATCTTAAATATGAATGAGTCAAAGGTGTACTTGTTTCCTATGTATCATGATTGTCACAGTAGCCTTGTTTGTGATTGCCATTTGCAAACTCAGTGTTTCTTGGCAGCTTTATTTTTGATGTCTCGTGCTCTGAGTGAGTATTAATTGTCTGTTTTTGATCAACCTGAGATTTTACATTTGTCGATTATCTTGTGGACCCCTTTGTTAAATTGTAGTATTGTTACTTACATCCAGATGTAATTTATTATGTAAATCTTCAGTAAGTTTTTGTTAGCTTAAAAGAAGGAGTTTGAATGAAACCAAGGTAATGTAACTTCCAGCGTCCGCAAATTCCATTACTCCAACTTAGAATTGACGAGATTTTTTCAATTTTTTTGATTATCTTGCATTTTACGTAGCCCTTTTATTACATCGCTGAATGTTTGAAAGCGCTTCGCAAAATTGTAAAGTGCAGTTGTGTATTTATAGAATAAGGTGGGCATGAATAAATGCATCATATTGTCTCACAAATATCCATGAAGTGAATTACCAATTTTTTTGGGGGGGATTGTTGGCCAGGACCCTGGGAGAAACTTCCCTTTTCAAATAGAACTACGCCATCTTTAACGTTCACATAAGCAGGCAGGCAGACATACTTGATTTATTTCAAGTTATTATGTTATGCCAGTGTACAGAATACAACTCTACAATTCTACAACCATTTTACGTTCCAACTTTGCCAGTAAAAGTTAATCATAATCAACATTATCTCTTTAGTTTTGTCCCAGTTATGTGGCTAAGCAGGTAGTCTCTTGAGACATTCCATTGCTGTTTTCCATATGGGAAGTTGACATCTGTCCACAATACCATGTCTGAGACCAGAAACCTGCCATGTAGGAAATTGCAAACATCTTTGAGTTATGCATTATACAGTACTCCTTCCCTTTACTTATGATTACAATACAAGGTCCTTGAGTTATACAAATTGATTTTCCTCTCCCATAAGCCATCACTTCTGAAAGTTGCACCTCTTTAGCCAGTTGGATTAAATACCTCATATGCAACCTCGCACAGTTGGTTGTCACTGCTTGATAGTAATAGCTATCATAGTTGAACCTGATTCTGTTATTTGGCATTCAGATACACATTTCTGTCAGGAGAAGGAACCATAACTTATTTGGGGCAGCAGTTGAACGTGCAATAATTGATTTCAGCATCTCTGGGTTAGAAAGACAAATAAGCAGCCAGGGTTCCTGTACTTAGCTGCTATCCAGTAATCATTGCTGGGAAGGTGGTAAGGGTTTGTAGACTTCTAGTGACTGAATCAGGCTTTGTCTCAAATAGCTTTCCAGCATTCACCCTCAAAGCTCTTTGAGAAAGGAGAAATTCGTAGAACTGTATACCCCCTATTGCATCTTGTAGATGGAGTGGTGGCATCTGGTTATGATTCTAGTGAGACAAATTGTTCTATTATTTTGGCTGAATGGGGAAGAATTAACATAATGACATTCAAAACAGCAATATTAGGGAGTCCATACTAAAACAAAATGAGACAGACTGACACAAAAGATGTGGCTCAGTTAGTAGCATTTTCACCTCAGAATGAGAAGGCTGGGAACTCAAAGTCTGATGCTCCAATATAAAGTTGGGGAAGAACTACATTGTCAATTTGCTGCCCTCTGGATGAGTTGCTAAACTGAGGTGCTGTCTACATGTTCATATGGGTATTAAAGATTTCGTGTCACTATTTGAAAAGAAAATATTTTCCCCAGTATTATTAAGTCAAGAATCTTACGAATATACTTGGTTATCCACTTCATGGCTGTTTGTTGTGCACTGTTGGATGCGCACGTGTGAAGTTATGCTCATACGATTATTAGGTTCAGCGCGTCCTTAAAAACCTTGTATATACCTTTGCACATATACACAGCAGTGCTTTTGCAGTATCTCACAGGGGTTGAATCTAACTTCTGCTCAGAGGCTTATGTGGATAAATAGCATGTGGATAGCATATATTGCATGTTTTGTGCTGATAGCATGATCTCCACCTCTATGGGAGGATTGCAATGTACTTTAAATTATAGTATGCCCTATATATACATATACACACACACATATATGTCATGTATGCTAGCTATACAGTACCAAATATATTCAGAATCAACTTGATATTCTGCATTGAATTTAAAAAGAAAAGAAATATTTTTTCAATAAACGCCTGAAATTATTTCAGTACCTGGCATAAATCTTTAGGTCATGCATGATTGGGCTTTACAAGTTTGATCCATATTCAATCACAACACTTTAGAACTCCAATTGTTTCATTAAAAAAAATCATTTTTTGTAAAGAAATTTGGCTTACTCCCAATTGTTTGTATTGAGACAATAATTTAAATTTGGAATTCTGACGTTCATCAACCAGTGTCTTAGTCCCACAGCTTGTGAACGAGCCTAAATTTGATTACAGCCTCGTGGCTTCAGAATACTGAATTACTGTTTATAAGTACCAATTTTACTAATGACGTTGTAATTTTTGTTTTCTCCTCATTTCTTTCTCCTCCCCCCACCCCAGTTAGTAAACCTCTTTTGAGTGCTCAATTCCTGGATTGCATTATGTTCCTGGCCTAGATGAACCTACCTCCATGTTTCTGCCTCACAACTTCAGCTCTGAACCTGTTTCAGAAGCTGGAGATTTTTGGCAGAAACAAAAAATGTGGGTGACACAAGATGGTGTCTGGTGGAGGTTCAACTGCTGAGGTACTATGAATTGCATGTATATCTAGCGGCATCTAAATGAACACTAGTATTGTCAAAGGCTTCTGGAAGTCACCTATACATCAGTTAAAAAGTGAGCAGGAGTGAGTCTTGCACCCGCCCACCACCAATTTTTTTTAATAGTCTCAATAAATGAGATAGGAAGGAGCAAGATTAACCTTGACTTGAATAATTCTCCCAGGACAAAAAAAAATAATGTTCAAGTTCAATCTAATGATTGCTGCGTTCATAGTTGTAAATCTTAGATCTGAAGACCATTCTCTTTTCTCTCTCATCCTCTTCACGAATGCTTATGCACGTGTACACACACGCACACTACATGCATATACACACAAACAAAGTGTGTGAACAGGACAAAAAAACTTTAAAAACAAAGTATACCCCTATCTACTGAAAAGAGATGTAATGAAAATATATTTTATCTGTAACACAAAATTCTTCTTTGTTTTCCAACCCTATGTACCAATTAAGATATGGATTACTCCAGCCATATGTTACACTCCGAGGTCCTGAGTGTATCCTGGAGCAGCTCCATTTACTTTAATACAAACTTTGGATTGTCCTGGGAAGCAATCTAGAGTTGACCAACCATGAGGTACATAATGCAGTACTATTTGAGTATTGATGTGTGGTTTCTCGTATTGTGCTAAAGTTCAGCTGAATGCAATCCAGTGTGGATTGCACTCAATTCCTCCAAGTAGTAAATTGGGAGGCTTGTCAAGGATTTGAAAGAAATATGATTCTCTGCTACAGTTAAGTATACTAGTATATTATTTTATGCCTTTTCTAACTAGGTGGGATAGTGTTGAATAGATAGTACTACCCTTAGACTTTCCTACTTTTTTTTAGTATGGTTGATGATAGATCATGGCTGCTAAATAATATAAACAAATAATTAATTTGAAACATAAACTACTTTTCTGTAACATTTAAAAGAGAATTGACTATAAAACACAAAGCTTCCTTAAAAATGTTGCAGTTTGATGTTCATTTTTTTCAAAAGGAAAAGCTCTACTCAATTCAGACTATTTTTAAATATTTAAAAATACAGTAGCTTTATGTGATATGAATATTAAGTTGGTATTATACAGGGAAGACGGGGAACTTGAAGATGGAGAGATAGATGATGATGGAACTGAAGGAACCCAGGAAGTAAAGAAAAGGACAAAAGATGTTAAAGAAAAGGAAGATAAATCATCTCATAGGAGATCTAAGAAGAAAAGAAAGCGAGAGAAAGAACGGGTAAAAAGAAAAGCAAAAAGAAGAAAGAAGGAGAAACACAAGGTATTGTTTATTATTTGACTGATATCTTGATTGTTGGAAAGTAGATATTTTGTATACCTATAGACCTGTAGTTTTTTTTTAGAAACAATAATAGAAGTAGAGGATTTAATTCTTTTCTTTGAAAATACTATGAGCATCTCCATTCAAGTGCAAGACCCTTGAAGATGAATGAGTTCGAATTTTCTTACAGAAGCATTCCCCTTCCAGTGGGGATTCAGATTTCAGCTATGACTCTGATATCGATGCAGAAAAGTCGTACAAGAAAGGCCCTGCAATCTACAGAGATTTTGATGCTTCTTTCATTCCGGTAAGCAGTAGCCGAAAATTGTTTTGATGTGTTGGTGTTTTTTCAATAAGAAAGTTACAATAGTGTTTTACTGCATTAGTACAATTTATACAGTGCTTTGTTGAGTAACTACTTTAGCCTTCATTGTAGGTTTGGGAAGTAATGTACAAGAGCACCACCTTTCCAATCTGGCCAGTTTGTTGCAAGTGTATTTGAATGATACAGGAAGGGATGTTTAATCCCACTCTTTTGAGACAGTGTGACTAATTTGAAATCACTGCAGTAAATACATCCTGTGAAGGGCTTTCAGATATTTTGCTGACATGCTATATCAAATGTAAGGTTGATTATTCCACTTATGGTCGTGCTTACAGTCACCTCCCTCTCCCCCTGGCTTGGGGTCAGACTCCGCCACTGTCAAGCGCTCTGGGATGCTACCCTGCGTGAAGGGTGCTATGTAAATGCAAGTTGTTGTATTCCAGTAAGATTTTCATGGTACTATTGGTGACTGGTTTGTGTGTGGATATCTCATGAATCTTTAATCTTTTTAGCATCCACAAGCACCTGGAAATTACATGAAGCCTGTTCCACCCTTGCCTGCTCAAAAATCTTACAACAATAATAATAAATCTGAGAACCGGGAGTACCCGGAGAACCGGGAGTACCCGGAGAACCGGGAGTACCCGGAGAACCGGGAGTACCCGGAGAACCGGGAGTACCCGGAGAACCGGGAGTACCCGGAGAACCGGGAGTACGCTGAGTATAGCGACTACAGTGAAGAGAAGTATGAAGCCTATGACGAAGAGGAGTGTGATGATTTCGCTCATGAATTGAAACAGTACAGACAGGCAAAGGAAGCCTCAACTGGGTATAATCCAAAAGGACCACCCCATGGACAGAACAAAATGCCTGGCATGAAAGGTGGCCAGAAAGGTCAGTTGTTTGTTTTCAGGAATAATGAATTTTAGAACTGGAGTTTTTCTTGAATATAAATGCATGTTGAATATAGTCCTAGTAGCACTACAGCTACTATGGCTGTTTTGTCAATTTAAGCCTCAAGACAACATGATCTTTTTTAACTCACTAGTTTTTATGTAAAAATACTGTAAGAATATGCTTGTTTGTTGGAGGTCAATTTGAGGTGCCTAAATATTAGAAGCGGTGTCGCATTATCAAAGTTTGCCCTTAGGGAAAGTCATTTCAGGTTGGTTGCTGGCATCTAGTGACCAGATTTGTTGACAAGATCTGTGGTGATGCAGCCTATAATTCTAAACATTTTACTTTTTCTCTTCAGGCAGGTGTGCAGTTTAAGGGCAGACTTCAAAAAGCAGAAAAATAAACTTTACTCTGGAATTATTTCAGGTCCCATGCAAAAAGGTAGAGGTCGAGGATTTGGTCGTGGACGTGGTATGCGAGGACAACACAAACAGAAGCGCAAAGGTTGGGGTCCTGGAAGAGGATCTGACGGTTCTATGATGGAAGGTGGTGATGAGGTAAAACAAAGGAAACAAATAAAGTATTGTACATACTTTTTTTAAAATGAATCATACTTTTTTTGTTACTTTGAACTAAAATTATTTATTGTAGGGCATTCTACTTCACTGGATACAATGGAATATTACCTAGTAACACTTCGGGTCAAATAATGGAATTTTGTTGATGAGATTTATTTCTGAGATACTATTACTACCCATTATGAGATCTGACGTGAAAGGTGCTATATCAAATGTAAAGTTATTTGTGTGTCAGCCTGGTGCAAACATAGCGCTCTCATGACTGAGGCAGCAGGTTGGGTTCAAACCCCACATTGGGACTTGGAATCACAGAGTGTAAACTGACACTCCAGTGCAGTGATGGGTGGTTGGCGGGTTGCGTTGTTGGAGACGTTAAACCAAGGTCGAGTGTCGTTGCCAACAATTTCCAAAATAAAATTGCTAAAATTGGTCACCTGCTCTGTGGCTGTGTTTCGTCCGCACAAAAATACACAGTAAATCCACTTTATGGTATGTCCTGTGAAGCACTTTGAGATGTCTCAATGATGTGATGAGGCGCTATATTAAATGCAAGGAGTATTATTATTGTCTGGAATATTAGATGTGTCAACTCGAATGTTAAAACGATGTGCAGAAGCAATTTGAAAACCTAATAGAATGCTGCGGTGTACAGCTACATCGGTAGAATGAAAGTCTTTAGAAGTTAAAGCAAAAGCATTACAAACATGGGCTCAGACCTCACTTAGAATACTATGTTCAGTTTTGGGCACTAAACCATTAAAAGAAATGCACTGGAAAGCTTATAGGAAAGAGTAACAATGCTTATCATAGGTGAAGCGAATCATAAAGAAATTGTTAGCTTTATAGTCTTGAAGCAGTTAAATGAGGAGTATATTATTATTGCATAGGTAGTTGAAAGTGGAAATGAGTGTAGAAAAATGTAAAAAGATATCGCGAAAAGTCATAAATGTTTGAAATAATTGGCTAAACAATTTACCATACTCATTTAAAAAGCAACTTGATGCTATGATAGGAAGATGGTATGGTGAGATCAGATGGGCTGAAGAGCCACCTTCATCCAAACTCATCTTGTGAAGGTAATGGAGGCAAAAACATTAGCATTATTCAAACTCCAATTCGAATCAATGGGAGGGCTCGAGGAAGGAGCTTCTGTGACCCTAATAATTTTTAGACTTTTGTAATCTTGCAAAATTAATCTTTCTTGGGATTTAAATATTGAATTATCTTTTATTAAAAAGTGATTGAGATTTGTATTGCAAAACATGAATCTTCTTGGGTGGTAATGAACATTATGAATATATAAACTATATATGTTTGCTGTTTGAAAGATGCAATAGTAAACTTGCAACTATATTATGATAACTCAAAAACTAAATCATGTTCACACATTTTAAATAAGCAAAAGTACTGATGAAAATTGTATTTCACAGGATGGTTATGGAGGAACATATGGAGGACCACATTTTCCGCAGAAGAGAAAAAACAAAAATCAAGATTTCTGTCACCGAGGTTCAGGGGAAAAAAATAGAAGAGGAGGCATATGCAAGTATTTTCTGGAGGGACGCTGTAATAGGGTATGTTATTTTTGAAGTTTGTCTACTTCAAAAATGTGAGCGTGTCTCTCTCTGTTTGAGTGTGTCTTTATGTGTGAGTGTCTATGTAAGTGTGTCTCTCTCTATATGTATGTGTTTGTGAATATGTCTGTGTCTTTTCTATGTAAATGTGAGTGTGTTTGAGTGTCTCTGTATGAATGTGTATGTGTGTGTCTCTTCTGTCTGTGTATGTGTATCTCTCTTTGTGTCTGAGTGTGTCTCTCTGAGAATGTGTGTCTCTGTGTCGGTGAGTGTGTGTGTGTGTCTCTCTGTATCTGTGGGTGTATGTGTGTCTGTCTCTCTGTGTGTGTGTATATGTGTCTCTGGATCACAGTGTCTGTGTGTGGTGCTGGACCCTGAGAATCAGGAGGTGGTGAACTGCTATTAAGAAAAATGCTCTACTGTTTAAAGGAAAGATATGCTCTGGCCAATTCTTACCTAACCTGTTACATAACAAGTTACTTACTGATGCTTGTTAGAAAAATGCTCTACTGTTTAAAGGAAAGATATGCTCTGGCCAATTCTTACCTAACCTGTTACATAACAAGTTACTTACTGATGCTTGTTATCTTGTTGGAAGGTTGCTCCTTTGAAAGAGAGATTTTATGTAGAGCTTTTTCATCCATCTTCCTACTTGTCTGCACCCCCTCTTTTCTCATACCCCCCCCATACAGTGACATAAATACAGCCAGTGGATTATGGGTTTCACAACGCCACTTGAGGGATGGTCATAAGCTGGGCCAATAGAAAAGTGTGGCTGCACTTTTTCTGCGGTATCAACTACAAACGCCCTTCTTCGTTACAATCTTGCTAAAAAGTGAAGTTTCTGGCCCTGGGCCTCCCAGCTGTTTACCCAAAGTCAGTGTGGGCGGGGTGGCTCTGGAGGCCCTGTTTTTGTGATTGTCTGTGTGAGTGTCTCTGTTTGTGAGTGTGTCTTTCTCTATGTGTGAGTGTCCATGTGCGTGTGTCTCTCTCTCTGTAATATGTATGTGTTTGTGAGTGTGTCTGTGTGTCTCTTCTATATACGTGTGTGTCTGTGTTTATGAGTGTTTGTGTGAAAGTGTATGTGTGCCTCCTGTCTGTGTATGTGTATTTCTCTCTTTGTGTCTGAGTGTGTCTCTCTCTGAGAATGTGTCTCCCTCTGTGTCTGTGAGCATGTGTGTGTCTCTCTCTGTTTGTGTGTGTCTCTGTCTGTGTGTATGTGTGTGTCTCAGTAAGTGTGAGTGTGTGCACACATGTATGTGTCTCTAAGTCACTGTGGCTGTGTGCGGTGCTGGACCTTGAGAGTCAGGAGGTGGTTAGCTCCTTTAGCCTCGTTGGTGTCCCTACCCCCCCCCCCTTCCCCACTCCCACCCCAATGGGACACCCAGTGTTTGTTAAAGAGTCACTTAATACAAAAAAATCAACAATCTAATATGTGCTATTTCCCCATCTTTAGTTTTTATCAATATAGTGAAAAAATGCAGATTGGCAGTAAAATGTACCAATCAACCCCTGCAATTCTCCACAAAATCTGTCAAATTTCCCCACATTTTTCCTAATTTCCTAACAACAAAAATGTCTTGATTGATTTATGCTATTAATCAAGAAATATTCAATCAAGAAAAAACTGAAAACAAGACATTGATTTAAATTAGATTCATGTAGACTCGTGCGAATGTTCAGCGGACTGCTTCTTGATGGCCCCACGGGCCATGGGTTGACCACACACTGCTCTTAGCACATTGAGAAGTATCCATAAATATATAACATCTGATATTATAGCACATTTCAGCAGAGAATACTTTTCAGTTTTAAAAGATTTTTGTACACAAGTCTTCCACAGCCGAGAACCCAGGCAGGAATACTCTTTTCATTGTCACTGATCAGAAGAGTGCGCAGCCTAGTACAACCGGGCTTCATTTTCCTTTCCATCCACTCCTTACTGCCTAGGAATTCCTCCCTTTCTGAGAACTGCTCTGTCTGTCCTGACCTGAGTTTTTCAAAGATTTTCTACTTTTTGCAGCTATCTTGCTTTATTCTGTTCCAGTTGTATTTATATATTTTTGTTTTTTTAATAGGGGGACCAATGCCGGTACAGTCATGACGTAGTTCTAGAGAAGAAGAAGGATATCTGCAAATTTTATCTAAATGGTTATTGTACCAAAGGAGATAACTGTATTTTCATGCATGATATCCTTTATGATTGTTACATGCATTTAGTGGTTGAGTCACAGATCTGAGACTTCATTTGTTACAAGAGACTTTAAATGGAGTAAAAGAGCAGAAACCTTGGGTTAACATACATAAATCTTTAAAGGTGGGAAAGCAGATAGACAAAGCTGTGAAGAAAGATAACGTGATCCTAGGTTTTATAAATGGGGATAAAGAAAATGAACCAAATAGGTGATGCTTAACCTATATAAATTGTGACTAAGAGTATTGTTTTCAATTTTGGTTACCCTGCATTAGGAAGAATCTGAGGACCATAGAGAGTGTGCAGAGGAGATTATTATTATTATTTTTACTGGCTGGTGAGTCATTGACTAGAAGGCACAATTTAAATTCATTATTGAGCAAAAGAGGGGAGATTGGAAGCACTTATGTTTATGGAGTTAGGATGTGGAATGCATTGCTGGTTGGGTTAGAATAATAATAATAATCCTTGCATTTGAAATAGCGCTTTTCACATCGGGAGGACGTCCCAATGGAATCCATTGTTGGCCTTCAATTGGTTGGGAACTCAATACACATTTAAAAAAGAGTAATTTTCGGTTGCATGGGAAAATCAGATAAATAGGGCTGAATGAATTGCTCTTTCAAAGCATGGACAAAATGGGCCAAGTGACTCTTCTCACCGTATACGTCTATCATCCCAAGGATGCAAGGATTATTATTATCCACTTTTTTCTTTTCCAGATCAAGGCTACAAATCCTGTAGGTTGAGATATTTTATTTCAATAAAATTATACTAACCCTCAGTAACAAATCCAATGATTGTCTGACTGACTTTTTTGTTAGGGTTAGCTTGTGAATATACAATAAGACCTGCGTGTGCAGAAATGTTAAATGGGTATTGCCTAGCAACTTTTTGTATGGCTGCCTCATCTATTTTTTTCTTAACATTTATGTGTTTTATTGTTGAAAATTTATCTTGGATGTGGGTGAATTGTTCCTGGAAAAGCTCCAAAATTCTTAACTGATTTCTATTCTTTATTTTGTGTATGTATTTTAAGAAAACACTTTTTTCCTTAATGTAATTTTACGTGAATATCCATGTAAGTTCTACCATACAGGAGCAAAATGCTACCAAGGAGATTCCTGCAAATTTTCTCATGCTCCACTTACTGAAGAAACCAGGGAACTGTTAGAGAAGGTCAGTCAATACATGTGGCGATAAACCTTCACATGAGAGAGGAAAAGAAGGGTGGGGGGGAATAATAAATGGGTGGAAACTCATGTGAAGTGTATAAGGCACGAGGACGGACTGTTTTTTGGCTGAGTGGCTTATTTCTGTACTGTATGTTCTTTGTAAAGTACAAACTATTTAATTAGTAACTGCCGATGAATACATTAATGCACAATTTGAGCTACATGTACCAAAAAATCCCCAGGTTCAATCCCTAGTTTGTGCTGAGTTTACTGACTTTAAGTAGGGTGTTGGACGGGTTCACAACATCCTTACATTCGACACTTTGCTGAAAATGTATGGTTGAGTATACCCATGACTCCAACTAACCAAATTTGTACATGAAGAATGGCAATTTGGACCAATCACTTGAGAATTGCAGCCATGTGTGGTATAGCTGAGCATAAGTGAGGGAAAATTGGAGAACAACAAAAACGATTGGCTAAGTGAACTAGATACAGCGTTTAGCATTCGTTTTACATCCTGTTGTATTTTAATTCCACTAATTGTTTATCTTAAAGAAAGCATTGTCGTAGAACATTCTCAGATCAAAATCTTTTGAAGGATTTCATGATAATTCCTTTTATCGGCATATGTGGTCACCATTTTAGTTACGTTGAAAGCTGAAGCTATATAACTTTGTTTCTCGTTTGGTCATCTCAATCTTTTCTGATGATGGGTATTAGGTCCTCATCCATGGTAGAATAGAATTGAAAATGTTCTTTTATTCAGTCTTAGCTAGGTTAAACCCATTGTTAAACTTTACATTTATAAATCTAGAAAAAAGGTTTTGCTTTAATTAAAGCTGTGCTCCTTACTACTTTACCAAAATTAATGTTTGCTTTTTGTCAGGTGTTAACCAGTGAAACTGAAGCAATGTTTAAGTCATCCTTTCCTGTTGATGATTATACATATGAATATAATGAAGAAGACGATAGACAAGAACTGGAAGAACTTGAGAGACAAGGCATAACTCCTCTTTCTAAACCACCATCAGGGATTGGATTATTGCCAACTCCTCCACAGGGCTTTCCTGGTCTAGAGTCCCTAGGTCCTCAACCACCCACTTCGCCTGGTGGATCAGATAGGAAGATTCCCTCCTTGTTTGATATTGTTGTACAGCCAACTGGTGGATTTGTGCACAAGATGGGAATGAGGTAAGTTAAGTTATATGAAAGTTAAAAGTAATCCTATAATATAGTGCATTTTTCCTTCAGTGATTTCAATGTGTTCTGTGTTACCAGTCATTAGCAATCTTTTTGTCATCAATCTTATGATGACAAAAAGATTGCTAATGACTGGTTACACAGAACACATTGAAATCACTGAAGGAAAAATGCACTATGGTTGCATCCACTATTGAAAATTTGCAATCAGTATTTCTGCTTTAAAAACTCAGTTGGAGGGATATAAAACCAGAGTTACAAGTATGTGTAGCATACATGTTGTTAGCTACATATTCTAAACTATGTTGCTGCTTTAATTTGTTAAGACACTCTGATTTTATTTAAAAAAACACACAAAATACTGCAGATGCTGGAAATCTGAAAACAAAACCAGAAGTCGCTGGGAACACTCAGCAAGTCAGGCAGCACCTATGGAGAAAGGAAAGTGAGTCAATGTTTCAGCCAAAACATTGACTCACTTTCCTTTCTCCATTGATGCTGCCTGACCTGCTGAGTGTTCCCAGTGACTTCTGGTTTTGTACTCTGATTTAATTGTTCATCTGTCTCCTTTGGTTGAAGGCAGTAACTGAAAAGGTGGTCGTAAATATTTTCATGAGTGTAAAGTTTAATTTTTAAATTTATATCAAAGTCAGTGTTATAAATGAAATTACTGTACTGAAATGTTCGTGATAGCTTGTTTTTTCACTTTTTTATAAAAAAGCCTAAATTCTAATCTATTCTAGAAGGCTACGTTTTAATTGGTTACATCTGGTATATCTTAAATTTAAAATTATATATTTTGGTTCAAACTGTTCAGCACCTTGGGATGTCCTCCGACGTGAAAAGCGCTATAAATATATTTTTGTTGTTGTGTATTAGTTTCTATCATTATCGTACTTACATTATTTCTGGTTTTACCACAAATTTTTAAATGCAGTACAAGCCCTATTGAATGTGCTTTATTACAGCGCTGGTTTGTTTATAATGCGAATTGCCAGTGGACATGGACTTAAGACCATTTTAGCATCGGAGACTGCCTGATGCCTACATGTGCAGTAAAACCGGTTATCTCAACCTAGTTATAAACTGGATTGGGATTTTATGGACTCCCAACTCTTGCCTAAAATGAGACTTCACTGTAGTGCTGTAAGCACAAGAAAGGCAAAATACTTTTGAGATTATAGAATTGTACATGTTGGATTTTTCCCACAAATGATGGAACCTTTTGTTCTACTTCAAAACTGGTGCTTTCAATAGATATTGGAGATGACATTTTTAAAAACCAATATTGTGCAACTGGCACAATATTGTGTGTTGAGCCGAATCAACTGTTTCTATTGCCGTAATGTGTTGTGCAAAAGTCATCTGCCAGAGTTTTTCCCCCAAAAAATCTGGTATCTTATCAATGGATTTAAACTTTAGAAACTATTTTAAAAACCCTGGAAACTTAAATATCTGTCTCATCTTTTGTTACAAATGAAGTACCACATTGAAGTGTCTGTATTGACTGAATTGTTGTGCACACAACATGAATTCCTGCTAGTGAATGAGCTTGGGAGAGGAGGTACTTGGGTATATGGAAATCTAAGAAGGTTTTCTGTGGTGTTTTATAATTGATGAGAATACAGCAGTTATTTCCAATATAATAATAAACCTTGCATTTAATATAACGCCTTATCACGTCTTCGAGACATCTCAAAGCGCTTTACAGAATATACTGTAAAGTGAATTCACTGTATATTTTGTGGGAGAAATATCCAGCATACTAACATGAAGTTACTATTACTATTATGGCAGTATAGATTTTCATTCATGGATTTTATTCCTAGTAATTGTGACATATCGTCCATTTCTAATCTCTTTAGAGTCGCTGAAAAGCCAGGCTCTTTTCAGAGCCCAGTAAAGTTGAAAAATTGCAGCCCAGCAAACTTGGGTTTAAACAGCAACTATAATAATAACCCTTGCATTTGGTTAAGCGCCTTATCACGTCTTTGAGATGTCTCAAAGCACTTCATAGAATATACTGTAAAGTGAATTGACTATATTTTGTGGGGGTTAACACATAGATACAAAACACTAGTAGAGCACAAACATACAGGCCTTCTACCTGCCCTGAGTTAGAATACCACAAGAAAACAAACTTGTACAAAACAGAATTAATGCATCATACAACTGTTTTTGATGCATCTGGGTGGGAAATCATTTTATAACTACAGTAAAGTAAAACTGGCTGTGTGAGCATTTTGGTTTTTTAAATGGAAGTTTGTACGATACTTGCTTTTCTGTTTGGTTCCAGGAAGTGGTTTGTTTTTCCGCCTTTAATATAAATTGTGAACTTTCTTGCCTGATTTTTAGGCCGCAATTTTATAACAGCACATCACCTGAGCATCCATTTCAAGGAAACAACCAACCTCCACCTCCTCAGATGTTTGGAACTGGTCCGATTCCAATGCCTGGCCCAAATATGGGTCCTCCAGGATCTAATGAACTTTCAGAGGCTCCGGGTACTTTTGGTCCTCCCTGTCCACATGATCTGCCACCACCACCACCAGGCATGCCGCCAATGCTACCAGGACCACCTGGAGCACCAATGCCTCCCTGTCACCCTGATTTCCCTATGCCGCCAGGATTTCCTGGGCCACCAATAAATTCAGGACCAAATGGAGCTCCAGGTCCGATGGGATTTCAGGGACCTATGATGAACATGCCCATGGAGCACCATCAGTTTCCACCACAGTCATCACCAAATCAAATGCATCCACAGTTTCCTATGGATGCACCACCACAAATGCAGCAAGATGGTATGTTCCAGCAAATGCAAAATCCAATGGCTTTTTATAGCTCTTATTATTCACAACAAGCAGTGCACAGTTTGGAGCAAGAAAACCATATGGGAGGTAAGTCTTATCCATGAATTTCATCAAATTAATTTTCATAGAATCATATAAATTTACAGTGCAGGTGGAGTCTATTTGACCCAGCAAGTCTGTACAATCTCTCAGAGCAAACTGTTCATTCAATCCCACTGCCCAATCTTATCCACAATGCCTCTGCTTTGTTTCAAAAAATAGTACTTAAAACATACAATAAAACTTTAAAACATTCATTCAACATCAAAATATACCTACATGGAGTCCTGTAGCTCAGTGGTTAGAGCACTCGCTTTGCAAGCGAGAGACCTGGGTTTGATTCCCGGCAGGGTGAAACTTTGAGCAAGGGGACAGTGGCATTTTGGATTAAGAACTGGCTGAGTGACAGAAAGCAGAGGTTAGTGGTTAATGGGTGTTTCTCGAAATGGAAGGAGGTGTGCAGCGGTGTCCCCCAGGGATCGGTATTGGGACCACTGCTCTTTCTAATATATCTTAATGATCTGGACTTGGGCATAGAGAGCACTATTTCCAAGTTTGCAGATAATACAAAGTTAGGTAGGGTAGTAAATAGTGAAGAGGACTGTAACCAACTGCAAGCAGACATACACAGAACGTGGAATGGGCTGACATGTGGCAGATGGATTTCAATGTGGATAAGTGTGAGGTGATACACTTAAGTAGGAAAAATGATAGGAGGCAAAATAGACTTGGTACCTCAATCTTAAGGGGGGTGAACGTACAGAGAGATCTGGGTGTTCAAGTAAGCAAATCATTAAAGGTAGCGGGGCAGGTAGATAAGGCAGTAAAAAAGGCATTTGGTATACTGAGCTTTATTAGTAGGGGCATAGAGTATAAGCTTAGGGAGGTTATGGTATCTGGGGACGACGGGTTTGCAGGGTTGTGGGGAGAAAGCTGGTGATTGGGGTTAGTGAAAGTGACTGCTCTGTCAAAGAGCCGGCACAGACTCGATGGGCCGAATGGCCTCCTTCTGTGCCGTAACATTCTATGAATCTATGAATCTAAGTTTCCTTACTCCACATGCCTGATAATAATCCCTCAAAAAAACAATAATAAATTGGTCATTTCAATCCACGACTGTTTGTGCTATGCGCAATTGGCTGCCGCATTTCGCCCACAAATATAGTCAATTCACTTTACAGTCTGTTATGTGAAGCGCTTTGAGATGTCTAGAAGACGTGAAAAGTGCTATATCCAATGCAAGGATTATTATTATTATTATTACTTGGCAATGGCTCCTGTTTAGAAACTGGATTTTAAACATCTTAGGCCATCTTTTCATGCATTTGGTACTTTGTGTTTCAGAATTTAATTTTGATGGCTTCTGGTGAAACATTAGACATTTTGATGATTTAGTAATATTCAAGCATTATTTGAACCTATATGTAGTAGTTCCTTTAAGATTTGAAATTAATTTGTTCCATTTGCTTGTCTATTTTATCCTTTGGAAGAAATGTAACTGCGCTGATGTATTGCACCTCAGAGTGGTAAAAATGCAATTCTTTGGGAACTATAGCCAACAAACTTCTTGCATTTGGATTTAGAAACTTCTGAAAGTGATTCACACAATAACAATCACCTTGCATTTGATATACTGGCTTATCATGTCATTTTGAGAAGTCTCAAAGCACTTCACAGGATATATTGTAGAGCGGTATATTGTGGGTGAAAGTGGCAGCCAATTTGATCGCAGCGATATCTCACAAACAGCCATGGAGTGAGTGAGCAATTTTATTTTGAGAGATGTTTGGTCAGCACACCTGGAGAAACTCCCTTCTCCTTGGGATCTTTAACCTCGACTTGAACAGGCAGACAGAATGAGATTAATTAAAACCTTTTACAAATATTATGAGGACCAAAAGTTTCAGAATCTGCAAAAGTGAGGTTTATTTTGAGAGAGAAAGCAAGCAAGCCATTTCATCAAAACAAATCTTATGCACTTCCTGACTACTAGTTCTAGACCATCAAGTCTGGAAGTAATAGCACATGTCTACATTTTCAGTTAGTGTAAGTTTGCTAAGGCAGTGAAAGTATAGGGGACAAATATAATGCTCCTGGAGTGTCTGGCTTACATACTATATGACAACTTGATTTATTCTTCTTTCAAATATATAGATGGAGCATCAAGTTCTACAACAGAGATGAGAGATTATCAGTCTCATTTAGGCACCGATGATTCTAGAGAGAGTGACAGTGAATCAGATGCCAGTAGCTCAACGGGTCGTAAGACAGCTGTTAGTGTTCCAGACTTTCTCCCAGCTAAACAAAAAGCCTTGTTCCTGAGAATTAAGCAGAAGCAGCAAGAAGAGGGACAACAAGATAATTGTGGACAATCTCAGCGGTTGCAGAGCAAAGATGAAGGTCAGTCAACAACAATTTCCTTGATTGGAAAATTGTTACCTATGTTAGTAAATATTAGTTCATTTATTCAAAATCTCAGGTTGGCTTGGCTCAGTTCAAGGGAAGTTAAAGATCTCATGACAGTATTTGAAGAAGGAGCTTTTTTTCAGTGTCCTGGCCATTCTGTCAAAATGTTTAATCACCCCATGTCTCTGGATCTTGCTGCAGCCTTTGCCTAAAAGGCACTACACTTGATGGTGTTTACCTCCTTTGAGAGGTTGTTATGATATGTTGGGTCAATAGAAAAGTGAGTCCGCAATTTTTCCACGGAATCTGCTACAAATACCCTCTCCGCAACAAACGTGTACAAACACAGTGAGCTCGGGGCCCTAGGCCTTTGCGCACTGCTGCCGGATATTTACTCAATGCTGCTACCGTGGGAGGAGAGACTCAGGAAGCGCATTCGCTATGCGGCACAAGCGGGAAATGGGCTTCACTCACCCGAGGCTCCGCTGTTGAAATTGTCTGTGTGTCTCTATCTCCCGTATGACTGTGTCTCTCCTCACTCCCCTCTGTTTGTCTGTCTGTCTGGGAGTGTCCATCCTTACTTCCAACTTAATTTCTAACATGTCCCATGTCCCCCCACCCATCCCACTCTTCTGAAAAAAACCTGCAATACACTCAAAACATCCTCAGCTTTTCCTTGATATTTAATTGTATTTTGGGGAATTGACGGTTTGTAGTTTTTTGTGAATGGCCAAGGTTTGTTTGAATTTAGACTTTGGACAACACTAACCCGCCATTATGGTTTGTGTCTATTGCACCTACTAACTGGTTCAACCATGATCTTTTATTTGGTTTGTTGCCAGCAGCTAATTTTAAATTAGCCACAAGGCTATCTCTGTTTGAGGTGCCTTACATTGCCCCATAGTTTCTTCATGTGTTCAGTCTGTTCCAGAAAAAAAGTTCATGGCTATCTTTTAGAGAGTTTCTCTGAAGAACATTTGCAACTATTTTTGGTACTCCAGGCTGATCTGAAGTTATAGATCTTCCAGAATTTGACCACCACTTATCTATACCACTTTAAGAACATTATGGGCAAGGCCACTAGATAATAATAAAATAATAATCCTTGCATTTGATATAGCGCCTTATCATGTCTTCAAGACGTCTCTAAGCACATCACAGAATATACTGTAAAGTGAATTGACTGTATATTTTGTGGGCGAAACCATCCTATTCCTTATAAATGATTGAATTCTTGCCATCTAGCTGGTATTTTGCTCAATCGGTTCTCCAGAAATAGACTCTTTGTGAGGGGAGAGCAATGCTTGACTTACTTCCTTACTTCCGATTTAATTTTTAACATGTCCCTGGATACTTGTTCAATTTGCATGTATCGTTTTTGAAATAGGGCCCATGCTGTCTGCGCTTCTGTTTATAGTCCACATGAATCTGCAACACTTCTACTCTCCTCACCTATACTACACTATTCCCTTCTCCCTCTGGAAGAATCAAGTATTCTCTTCAATACGTTGATGGTATTTGCTTCAACCACAGTTTTGAATATTGAGTTGCACATTCTCATCACCCTCACTGGACAAAACTGTCAGTAATATTTTTGGATAATACTTCTAATTGTGTGCAGGAGAATATTATGTTGCCTCCATTCCCTGTTCTTTTAAAGGATTTGAACCGCCACACAAGTTTTCTCTCTTTCTACCTGTCCCACATTTCTCTTTTTGACCTACCATGATTTGGAGCTTACTGCTGATTTTAGTATGATTTAATGTATTGGCAGAAGTATTGAGGTAGTCTGACAGAATGTATTGCACATTTGATCAAGAATAAATTTATTAATTCTTGAGCATAGTATGATTTTATTATGGCTGATCACTCAAAACCTGGAATAAAATAGTTTTCTAATTTCTGCAGATGAGGCTGTAAACTGGTATTCCAGTGATGAAGAGGAAGATGGTATCAGTGTAAAATCAATACTGAAGACCCTTAAGAAACAGAGTGAGAGCATAAAGAGCCAACAGTCTCGTACAATGGAACAGACATCTTACACATCTATGGACCCTAGACTTGTGAAGGAAAAAATGTCTGAAAATAAACTTTCAGATCTTCGGTTACGAGCTGACCCACGCCAGGGAGAGATGAAAAAACCTTTAGAGTTGGTCACTGCTGATCCCAGGCTATTAAGGGATCCCAGAAAGATGAAGGGTCAGGAGCATGCTAGTATAGGGCTTTCAGTTGGTGAAAGCCCCAAGCAAGACTTTCATTATGTACAAACATCAAACAATAAGCAGCAAGCTATGGATGATGATGAAGATGGAGAACGAGAGCTGAGAGAGAAGCCTGCCATAATACCTTTGGAGATGATGGCTAGTGTGACTTTAAAGGATCCACGATGTCAATTAAAACAGTTCAGTCACATAAAAATGGACATTACCCTCTCCAAGCCACACTTTGCAAAACTTGTTGTTTGGACTCCTGAAGATCTACTGCCATTGCCACTGCCAAAGCCAGACCCTGTATCTTCAATAAATTTGCCTCTCCCTCCTTTAATAGCTAATCAACGGTTGAATAGAGCTCTGAATATTGCAATTGAACCTCGTCCGGTTGCTGATCCACGCTTGTCTTTGAGACCTAAAGAGAGTACCACAATAAAAAGCACTGAAAAAATTGCAGAGCCCAGGGCTGACAGACCTTTAGATCCACGATTGCAAAAGTCATCTGATCCCCGACTGCTAAAACCCAGCAGCACAGATACTACTGCAAAAGAGTCCCACCCTGTACGAGTAGATCCTCGCTTGTCAAAAATAAGTGGTGGCTCTACACAAGTATCGGGAGTGAGTGCAAAAACAGATCAGTCCCCACTTCCCCCTTATGCTCCCAAATTGTCTGTAGGTGGAGCAGGAGTTGGAGCTCCCAGCACTTTGCTCAGTGGCATCAGTCTCTATGACCCACGGACACAGACTTCTCAAAGCTTAGTAACTTCTGTGTCAACCACACAGGCCGATTCCAATAACGAAGGAGAGCAGCAAAAGAAACCTATACCAAAACCTGCCATCAAACTTGAAAATGTGCAGAGTGATTCCTCACTCATTTATAAATCTACATCAGTGCAGGAGAGTAGGAACACAGACAATACAACAGATGTTATCACAGAGAAATCTAATAACTGCAGGTCTCAATTAAAGCCTGGAGCACTGCAGACAACTGCTGCTCCTGCAGTTCTCAGTGCTGTTCCTGCAGTTCATAACCTACCCATTCAGGCTTTAGCTGGCCTCATCAGACCACAGTACAATGATCCAAGGCAGACTAAACATTCTGGGCCAGCTGCTCAAGTGGAGGAAAGTGATTTAAATAGTAAGAAGGGTAAAAAACCACTGAAAGAAATGTTCAAGACTTTCGATCCAACTGCATCACCTTTCTGTTAGTTTCTACTCCTTGAAAACCTGATGTTCACCATGTATATTGTTTGTCAAAATTCTTTAACTTATTTGGCTTGTTTTATTTATTTATTTTTTTACTATGTACAGTCTCTAATTGTCCAGAGAAATGCATGCAGTGGCATATGTCAGACTGTGTGACTAATTTTTTTTGGGTCAGTGTATGTAAGAGCTACATTTTGAATTAATTTTTTATGGTAATAGACATATGTATTATAGAGAGTATAACTGTGACCATATTGCAAACTTCTTCCCGGTGAAGTAAATCTCGTATGTGTACCGAAATGTGGAATTGGTTCAAACTTATTGTACGGTTCTCACATTCTAAAGTTATTTCTTGCTTGGGTATTAAGTGTGATTATGTATTATTGAAGTAGTACACTGAAGAACTATAAACTGTTTTTAGTATTTTTGTTGGAAATACAGCTAATCTTAAATTACTGCCTCTTTTTTATTGTACAGTTTGAGTAGTACCACTCTAAAGATGGTATATTGTATAAAGTACAAGGTCCTAACAGGTTTTGTCAGTTAACTTTGAAATGGATGCTGATTTGTGCACTGCAATTTTTTTTAAACTTAGTTGCTTTAAGATTTTTGTCACAATCAAGTGTGTGGAACCATTTGCATTTAGACACTGCCCATTGATATGCACTGTACATCTCCAATTATGTGATTATTTATGAAAGTATTGACAGTAAACTGAATGGCAGGTAGTAATCATCTGTTTAATTTGCAAGTTACCTAGAACCATGACTTAATGAAAATTAATGTACACAATGTATCAAACATTTATTGTGAAGATAATCACATTTGTTCAGTTCGAGTAAGTCCTAAATTACTGAATATGTTATCCATTTAATACAGGGAACTATCAGTGGATTATTGTGCATTAATAAGTGTATGAGCTTGTTCTTTACGTATGACACCATATTTTCATATTAAGCTACTGATATTTAGTTAGCTTTATAGACACAAAGCCTACTGTAAAAGCTTTTTGTACAAATGTATTAAAATCTTTAAACTATATTTTATATGCATGTTGTAGTTTTTAGTTAATGTTTTATACAGTGCTTTGTGATACCTAAAGTTTGAAGACTGTTGCCAAAAATATATGAATACAAACTAGTTTTAAAAGGTAGTTGAAAATATGATCTGCAAACGTTAAAATATTGAATTGAGCAGCAGATTTAAAGAGATTTCATTTTTTGAACAGCTGTGCAAAAAATAGATCTGTGGCCAAAAGAACTGCTTAGATCCATACTGCATAACTATAGCTTTAAGAAAACTGACAGGTCAGTGACGTAAATAAGTTGACATAACATTATACAGGTTGAGATGAAAGGTTAATTTTCTTCACGAATATCTGTGCACAGATCTGTGCACTTGATGATCCAATTGGCCTCATGTTATGCAGATTAATATCTACTCAGTTTTGGGGCTGGATTAAAGCTATGACTATTTGTACTCCAACTTAACCAGCTGAATAACAAAAGAAAACTCAAATCTGGGCTTGTTTTGAGGGTATTCAAATTTCTGAAATATTCAGTTTGGTTAAATTAACTAATTTAATTACAAATTTACACATATACAGTGTTTTCATGTCTTATATGCAAAATATCATCACCATGTTTAAAGAGTATCCAAAACTAACTGAGTTGCACAACTATATACCATCTACACATGGAAATTTCTTTCTGTCTGGAATAGTAAGAGCACTCTCACCCTGAAGAGAGTATTAAGGAATACTCTTTAATACTCTGCTTACCCAATTCTAGAGAGTATTAAGGAAAAGGGAATCCTAGAGAGTGCATTAGGGTACTGCTTTGAGTTTAACCAGAAGCAACACATAGATTGCCATTGAAAGCACCGTCTGCCAAGCTTTCTACTGTTTGTCCAGCTGGGACCACCCTACCCATTGGGGTTTGGGAACCCACCCGAGGGACAAGCCAGTATTGTTAATTGCCTTGGGATGTCCTCCTGACATTCAACCCAGCTAACCAAATAAAGTTATACAGTATAGACACACATCTTTTGATAAACCTATGAATTATTTGTTCATTTCACTCGATCAACTATTGGTAAATTCCTTTAAGATGTTATGTAATTTAAAGTTTACATTTCACTTTATAGCAACATACTAAGATTGTTAACAGCATGCTGCTTCTGGGGTCTTTTGCTCTTAATCACGATCTCGTCTCCTATTTCCAAATGAGGCTTTTGATAATTCAGACAAAGCAGGCTATTTCACCATGAGAGGTATTAAGTTGAATATAGTAGTGGCCCAAGACTTCCAATAGCTTCCATCAAAGCTTTTGTCTCACAGCCATCGACTGCATTGTTTGTGGGACACTGCTGTGCGCAATTGGCTGCCACGTTTTGCCCACAAAATATAGTCAATTCACTTTACAGTATATTCTGTGAAGCGCTTTGAGACATCTAGAAAGCGTGATAAGGTGCTATATCAAATGCACGGGTTATTATGTTAAAAACAGACGTAAAATTAGAATATTCATGTTCTTAAAAATTCTTAATAATACTTTCATTTGATATAGTGCCTTATCACGTCTTCCAGACGTCTCAAAGCGCTTGACAGAATATACTGTAAAGTGAATTGACTATTTATGGGCGAAACGTGTCCCACAAACAGTTGTGGATTGAGTGACCAAATTATTATTGTATTTTTTGAGGGATTATTATCCCGGAAAAACGATACGCTAATCGACTAACAAACCGTGTTCCTACATCCTGCTAGATAAACAGGCGTGTGGAGTGAGGAAACTTGCCCAACATTTTGCCTTGTCAGAAATTGAACCCAGGTCTCACTTGCTAGCCAAGTGATCTAACCAGTGAGCTACAGTACTTGACGATATTTGGATAAAACAATACGTTAATGCATAAATGACAGCAATAAGAACTAGAAGCACTGAGTTTGTGTTAAATACAGTTTATTGTTGAATTACAATTTATCTTTTGAGGATTTTCCACCGGAAACATTGTAAGGTGGTCGTGAATCGCTGTTAAGGTATTTGGTTTTAATAGAAAATTCTGTTGAACTCTTATTTATTCGATTGTAGCTAATATTCATTGGATAGTCATGAAATTACATATATTGCTACAGCACTGGAAACAGGCCATTCATTCAGCTCAACTAATCAGTACTGATGTTTATACTCCACATGAGTCCATACCTGTGTGGATATAAAATAATCACTTATTTTGTAACCCGACAAGAAAAAAAATTAGACTATGGCTGTCTTTTCTAAGCCTCTCTAATAGCATCAGTATAGCAACAGTTCAAGAATGTATGCAATCGCTAAAGGTATATTTACTCTATGCAGTAGAAATAAAATCATTCAAAACAGATAATACATTATTGGGCAGAAAGGCCATCCCTTATAGGCTTAAAGTGTCCATTTTTGCAAATCACTATCAAGCAGATTTTGTGAAGTGAGAGGTCTGCTTAAATACGTTGCCTGTGATTCAAAGCTACTTGTTTTTGGGTTGGTGGGATTTTTGGTATCTATCAATGAAAAATCCAAATGATTTAGGTAGTTTATCTCTTTAAGACCTTCATGTTTCCGGGCCTGGGCACGTAGGGGGTGAAGAAGTTTGTGGTGGTTAATGCCATCAATGCCATCACGCACTGTGTAGATTAAGTCAATCAATTGTTGTATCTTTTTTAAGAGGTTGGCTCTCATGGATATATCCGCAAGGTCTCCTAGACATAGATTTGTAGCTAAGCGAATTGGTGGGATGGCACTTTCCAACTGATTTATTAACACCAATAGTGCATTTCTGAAGATAGGATCATCGCTTTTATCCAGGTATCGTTTAGCAATTTGTGCCACACGCTTTGCCCGTCCAGACAGGTTGACAGCATTCTGTGTGAACTGACTAAAATTCTGATCACAAATATGTTTTTCACATTCCTCCATGTCATCCAGAATCTTTTGTACAGACAGTTCAATAAACTCGTGAACGTTGATAACAGCATCAAGAGATGCCAACAAATCTTCGGTTTCGTGTGCCCAGTGTTTGTTAAGCAGATGCAGTCTTTCCAGTAGCTCTGGATTTTGAGGACCCCTGCTCAACTTTGTTAACACAGCCATTGTGTCTTCTCTCAGATGCTTCAAACACCTGATAGAAGCCTGAATTGATTTAAAATTGTGTAACTGGGTGCAACATGCAGAGGTGAAATCTCCCACCTTTATCATGTTGTCAGTGTGTGTAAGGAAAGATGTGACAAATGGTTGCAAACTCAAGACATGGACATTGGCTGGAAGGTGAGAAGTTGGTGTTGGAGATCCAGACACAACTTTTGTTAAGCGTTCAAGAGGCTCTTTTGTTTCAGTAAAGATGTCCACAATTTGATAGAGAATTGTGGTGTCCATGCACTGATCTAATCTCTCCAATTCTTTTGTCATAGCATCGCATTCAGTGTCAAAGTCCATTTGTAACTGTCGGAGACTTCCCAGGCTTACTAGGAGCTTGCAGTGGTCGGAGATTTGAGTTCTGAGCTGCAGAAGACGCTGACACTGTGTCACTAGTTTGTGCTGAACTGTCTCCCTAGATGCATTAGCCACAATCATGCAGTGAAAAACCACCCCCTCAACAAGGCTGTCAAAGTTGCTGTCTGCAATGAGAGATCGTTTTGACTTGGATAATATGTTTAAAAGCTGGTGTAATCGGTGAGCAAACAGACCACCTTTGTTATGAGCTTCATCACCTGATGAACTACTCTTCAATAGTGCAATGATATCTGAGACTGTGACATCAATCTGACGAGTAGCATATGCTTTCGCAGCCTGGGCCTGGTCGCTCTTTGGGTACTTTACGAAGGTGTACGTGGCTGTGTGCAAAATGGGGACACATTTTTTAAGGATCTCCAAAGCTTGGTTCAAATGCTGCTGCTGCACCGTGTCATTCAGTTCCTGAAGGCGTCCTTCCATCAGGTTGTTGAGCAAAAGCAATGCCTCTGAAAACTCCCTGAAAGCAGCGAGCAATGCTGCCATGACCCTCGCAGATTCCACCAAGGTCAAGCAGTCCAGCAGCCAGTGGGCGGCCTGTACAATCCTACGCACCTCAACATCATCTGCTGTCAAGAGAATCTGACACAAAGGACATTGACTTTAGTGAGAAATTCAATGTGTACTGTATTCCCAATCTTAATTAAATTTCAGGTTACATAGGAATTTAGGGAAACAATCAGAAGTGCTCCAAAGCAACATTCCAGATGATAAGACAAAAGCAGCTTTGTTCTTTACAACAAAGGAACTGTCACCTAATCTTTCAATGGCTCTTTTAACTCTTTTAAATTGTTTATTTTTCATATACAGCCCAGCAACATCAAACTACCCGAAATGGGGGAGTGGGGAAAAGAGGGACTAACTTTTGTGTTTGGGATCTTGTGAAATCAGCAGTAGTTTTGTAATATGCAATTACTTTTACACTAACATACAAATAATAGTAGTATACCAATATAGTAAAACTAATGACATGCATATCTAGACGCTTAAATAAAAAGAGGGCTGTACATCATCAGCTTTGATCTAACATTTTCAAAAGATTGGATCTTTACTACCAAAGTGGTGCTATTGAAACCACCACCAAGTGGCTCAATAAACTGCTTTTTTAAACTCAATCGCTGAGTTGAGGTCACTCAAAGTCATAAGAAGCTGTACTGTAATACACGCTTCAAGCCTTGACTCTCTCCAACCTGCCCCTAACACTGTCTGGAATTAGGTAAGCAGGGGGCCTCCCTCCAGAGAGAGTGCATTCCGTTCTAATCACAGGGAAAACTCAATGTGCATTAGCACTTCATTTCAACAAACTGAAATAGCTCAGAGAAAATTGCTTTTTGTGACAATAAATAGGGCAAAGCAACACCTCCTATTACCAGAATAATAGCCTCAGGTACAACTGGTTCTTCTGAGATCTATAAATAAAAAAATCTTTGTTTTTGATATAGCTCCTTTCACATCGGGAGGATTTCTCAAAGTACTTCACAGGATGTACTATAAAGTGTAGTGACTGTGTATTTGCTAGGGCAATCCAGCAGCCAATTTCCACACAGCAATGTCCCACAGACAGCCTTGAAGTGAATAACTAATTTTATCTGCAGGATTGTTGGCCAAGACACAGGGAGAAACTCCCTTCTCTTTTTGAATAGTGCCATGGGATCTTTAATGTCCATTCGAACAATCAGACAGGACTTTGATTTAATGTCTTATCTGAAGGACGAAACCAACCTGCATAACTCCTTGTAGGATGTTCTGAGCAGAAGTGATTAGCTCATTCCTGTGTTCACTGAGTGCAGGCTGAAAGGCGAGTTTCTGGGCTGCCATCAGAATACCCTTTCCAGACATTGCAGCAAACTCTAAAGCTGGGCCCATTTCCTTTTTCAACAAATCATCAACGGAGTCCGTTACAAGGCTGAAGAAAGCAAACAAAGTTGTATCTATTATATCACCTTAGACCGACTCACACACATCATTGTGGAATGACAAAGGCAAGAGACGAAATCGCCTGCTGCTCTTTCAGCTGAGATACGGTATTTGGCATATAATGGGGTGAAGAAAAATATAAAGCTATATATCAAGAAGTGCAAAATCAGTTACATGGTCATGTACAGCTATAGTTTGTTCTACAATAGTGTGTCCCCAAATAGGACAAAATCCATTATTAATTTAAATATATATATTGTTTTAATAATACAGAATAAGTGTAAAATAATAAGCAGATAGTTCAGAACTGCTGCTCTTTTTTTCCTGTTGCTGCAAAATCAATATAACAGCAGAGGTCCATAATCCTGAAGGAAATCGATGGACAATAAATTGGATGAATAAGTGGCTTGAGAGTCAAAAATATTAAAGAGCAAGCCACAAAGTACTGTTGTTTCTTGTGAAATCATCTATATTTTTTACCTTCTGTCTACCTTTCTTAATTCTATTGAAGTTAAAGTGCTTTCTGTGACATCAAACAGCGGCCTTCTCTGCATATACATTTTTACCAAAGAAAAAACAGATTTATAATTGCAAACTCAATCCTGAGGTTATTGTGCCACACTGATATAAACTGAGCGATCAGTGTAACCAGAGCCTAGAATTTGAGAGCAGAAGATTAAAATAAACAGTTGTCCAATCAGGGGACTGAATGGAAATAGGAATGATATTGTATTTATTCCAGATTATGTTGAATAGTGAATGTGTCATTACACCATTCCCATCAATGCTCTCAACGCAGAGTAACCAAGATCTTACCGCTTTGCAGCAAAAACAAGTTCTTCGGTTGCTTTGGCCACTTCCTTAGCTGTTGGCTCCAGATCAGAGAAATTGTCATCACTTATGTCTTGCCATTGACTTAAGATAATCAAATGGGATATCTGAGCAGCAGTAGGAACGATGATTCTTTCAATATTCTTGGTCTTGACTGCAGAACCAATCCAATTCTGAGTAAGGGAAGCCATTTGTGAATGCCTAGAAGACAATAATCAGATTAAATCAATAACAATTTAGCCACTAATAGGATTAACATTTTATGCATGGGAAAATTAAAAATATTAGTTCCTCATTCTGACATCCATAGGGACATTTCAGATAGAAAGAATCACATTGCTGATTTCTGTTTTGATGTGTGTCAGGCACAGTATACATTTTCTCACACCTTATATAAGGAGAATTGAGAAAAGGGAAAGAATTTGGATGAGATTATTTACCATTCACTGAGCAGAGTGGCCTAGCCTTCATCAAAATATCCTAACCTCTAGCACTCACTCCCTCACTTTTCCCCTCCTCCCTGGCGAGGTGTGTACTCTGCCTTTGTGAGGCACTCGTAGACATTATCTTACATGAAGGTGCAATATACATGTATGCTCTTTGGAAAAAAATTATTCAGATGATACTGAGACTCAGTAATTAAGTTATGAAGAGAAACTGAAATAGCTGTACTTGCTTTCTTTCAATATAGTCCAGACTTGTAAGATGTTGAAGGAAAAGAATAATGAAGATATAAGAGATGATTCAATTCAAACCATGATGGCAAAACTGGAGGAAATGAGAAGGCAATTAAAATGTCTCTACACAGGATGCAATCACAAACTCTCCACAAAACAATTCATTCTGCTTTAATTCTTTTGAATAAAACCAAATGACTATCTGGTTAGGAACACGATTCAAACATAAAGGTAACTAGAGGGATGAGCAAATACTCACAAACACAATAGTTTCTGAGCTGGGACCAAAGAAATTTGATGCTTTAGAAACCATTGGTTAATAATGAATAATGTAAGGTGTTAATATCGGATATCTGAAGAGAAGCAAGGAAACAACTTACAGTATCTCCCTTTGGAGATCAGGAGGTATTACGCGGGGTGGGGGTGCAGCCTGGTGTCTGGCACATGCAGACACCCATCACCATACTTAGAGTATCCAAACCAAACTGAAAATGCCATGCCTCCCACCTACCACACGGCAATACCAGAGATATTTATTGGAATGGAATGGACCCTCTCTCTGGAGGGACGCATTCTGCTTACCCAATTCTGTAAAGTATTAGGCGCATGTTGGCAAAAGCCAAGGCTGGGGACCTTGATGTGTGCGTTTAGGGTACTGCTGGAGTCTGATTAGCTTAAACTGCATAGCTTGTCATTGACAGCATTGTCGGGCGAGCTTTCCCACTGCTTGTCCAGCGAGGACCGCCCCACCAATTAAAGCTTTGGTTTAAGAGTTGAATGGAAAGAATCCTTGCCCTCAGTGACTGGTCTGCCCCTCTAAGTCCTGCAGTGCCCCGGACCCACCTGGCTCAGGAGCAGGACTACCCAGACCACAGAAGGCTGGCTCGACTCCGACATTCGATTGCCAAACACGGCGTCAGTTCGGCTCCAAGAAGACTTTGGGGGGGGGGGGGGGGGTAGAGCTCCAGAAAATGTGCAACCGTCCACATCCGCGGATTATGGACAGTTTGTGTTGTAGACTGGGATCAGAACCCCTTGAAAGCCTGGATTTGAATGGAAGATCGCACTATAAAAGGTGAACCCACAATGTTACAGGTCTTGTGACACAATCCAGTCCCTGTGTGGGGAGGGGAGGGAGGGATGGGGGATGGGGAGGGGGCTGCAGCATATTGGAGCCCAGTGTTTCCAGCCTACAGCCCCTCAGCACCGTCCTTGCCCTCACATCCACTCCCAATGAGCAAAAGTGAACCTAATGCAGATTTACCTGCACAACACCGGGTTCTACATACACCAAAAACATCTCCGATCGACCACAGAAAAAAAACGCCCAAAAGTCCCCAAATGTCTTTGACACGACGTTGCCAACGTGTGTGAGCAGTGAGTGAGTCAGTGAGTGAGTGAGTGGGTCAGTGCCCGGGCGCTGCCCCGGGGCTGCGCTGAGAGTCTGACACCGCACAGTGCAGCGCAGAGCCGCGGAGCCGAGGGGAAGCCATGTCGGTGCTGACAGCGGGGCCGGCTCGTCTGGGTCTGTCTGTGGGGCTGTCTGTGGGTCTGTGTGTCTGTGGGACTGTCTGTGTGACTGTCTGCAAGGCCTGTGCTCCCCGAGCTCTTACCTTAATGTGTGCAGAGCGCTGTGACCGCGGACGGACAGAGAGACAGAGAGACAGACAGACAGGAGCTCTCAGTGAAGTGCACCGAGAAGACAGCAGCTCTCACACCCCACACACCCCACCAGCCCTCACACCAGCCCTCACACCCCACCAGCCCTCACACCCCACCAGCCCTCACACCCCCACCCCACCAGCCCTCACACCCCCACCCCATCCCACCCCCCCACCCCACCCACCCCCCCCACCCCATCCCACCCCCCACACACCATCCCACCCCCCACACCCCCACCCCATCCCACCCCCCACACCCCCCACCCCCCCACCCCCCCCCCCCCACCCCCCCCCCACCCCCCCCCCCCCACCCCCCCCCACCCCCCCCCCACCCCCCACCCCATCCCACCCCCCACACACCATCCCACCCCCCACACCCCCACCCCATCCCACCCCCCACACCCCCACCCATCCCACCCCCCACACCCCCACCCCATCCCACCCCCCACACCCCCCACCCCATCCCACCCCCCACACACCATCCCACCCCCACACCCCCACCCCATCCCACCCCCCACACCCCCACCCCATCCCACCCCCCACACCCCCCACCCCATCCCACCCCCCACACACCACCCCACCCCCCCACCCCCCCCACCCCCCCCCCCCCCCACCCCATCCCACCCCCCACACACCATCCCACCCCCCACACCCCCACCCCATCCCACCCCCCACACCCCCCACCCCATCCCACCCCCACACCCCACCAGCCCTCACACCCACACCCACCCCACCCCCTCACACCCACACCCACCCCAGCCACACCCACACCAGCCCTCACACCCACACTCCACCCCACCCACACCGCACCCGCCCTCACACCCACACCACACCCCACCAGCCCTCACACCCACACCCCACCCCACCAGCCCTCACACCCCACCCCCACCCACCAGCCCTCACACCAGCCCTCACACCACCCACACCCCACCAGCCCTCACACCCACACCCCACCAGCCCTCACACCAGCCCTCACACCCACACCCCACCAGCCCTCACACCAGCCCTCACACCAGCCCTCACACCCACACCCCACCCCACCAGCCCTCACACCCACACCCCACCCCACCAGCCCTCACACCAGCCCTCACACCCACACCCCACCAGCCCTCACACCAGCCCTCACACCCACACCCCACCAGCCCTCACACCCACACCCCACCCCACCAGCCCTCACACCCACACCCCACCCCACCAGCCCTCACACCCACCAGCCCTCACACCCACCAGCCCTCACACCCACACCCCACCAGCCCTCACACCCACACCACACCCACACCAGCCCTCACACCCCACCCCACCCACACCCCACCCGCCCTCACACCCACACCCCACCCACACCCCACCAGCCCTCACACCCACACCACACCCCACCAGCCCTCACACCACCCCACCAGCCCTCACACCCACATCCACACCCCACCAGCTCTCACACCCACATCCACACCTCACCAGCTCTCACACCCACACCCCACCAGCCCTCACACCCACACCCCACCAGCCCTCACACCCACATCCACACCCCACCAGCCCTCACACCCACACCCCACCAGCCCTCACACCCCACCAGCCCTCACACCACACCCACACCAGCCCTCACACCACACCAGCCCTCACACCCCCCACCCCACCAGCCCTCACACCCACCAGCCCTCACACCCACACCCCACCAGCCCTCACACCCACACCACACCCACACCAGCCCTCACACCCCACCCCACCCACACCCCACCCGCCCTCACACCCACACCCCACCCACACCCCACCAGCCCTCACACCCACACCCCACCCCACCAGCCCTCACACCCACCAGCCCTCACACCCACACCCCACCCCACCAGCCCTCACACCAGCCCTCACACCCACACCCCACCCCACCAGCCCTCACACCCACACCCCACCCCACCAGCCCTCACACCCACCAGCCCTCACACCCACACCCCACCCCACCAGCCCTCACACCAGCCCTCACACCCACACCCCACCCCACCAGCCCTCACACCAGCCCTCACACCCACACCCCACCCCACCAGCCCTCACACCCACACCCCACCCCACCAGCCCTCACACCCACACCCCACCCCACCAGCCCTCACACCCACCAGCCCTCACACCCACCAGCCCTCACACCCACACCCCACCAGCCCTCACACCCACACCACACCCACACCAGCCCTCATACCCCACCCCACCCACACCCCACCCGCCCTCACACCCACACCCCACCCACACCCCACCAGCCCTCACACCCACACCACACCCCACCAGCCCTCACACCACACCCCACCAGCCCTCACACCCACATCCACACCTCACCAGCTCTCACACCCACACCCCACCAGCCCTCACACCCACACCCCACCAGCCCTCACACCCACATCCACACCCCACCATCCCTCACACCCACACCCCACCAGCCCTCACACCCCACCAGCCCTCACACCACACCCACACCAGCCCTCACACCCACACCCACAACACACCAGCCCTCACACCCCCCACCCCACCAGCCCTCACACCACACCAGCCCTCACACCACACCAGTCCTCACACCACACCAGCCCTCACACCACAGCAGGGTGTTTCGCCTCCTAGCAACGCCAATAGCTGCCCAGTCACGTCCTGCCAGACAGTTGTTGGGCCCTGAGTGGCAATGGTGCACATCTATGGATCATGGCCAAATACCGGAAAATTATAGGCAATCCAGAGAGAGTGATTTATCTTCCCTGGGGGTAGGTTTGGTTGGGGAGCTTTTGTTTGGGGCTGAGTTGGCTCCAAAGTGACATGCTTTGCAACACAATGTGGGAATCAAGTCAACCCTCCCTGGCGGTCTCTCTGGTTTTGATCATCAATCTGAAACCTGATGGTGATGGGTACCTGATGTAAAAACAGATTTTATTAGAGATGGTCTGAGGCGGTCAGAGATAGATAGAGTGACAGATAGTTAGTCAGATAGAGATGGAATCAGAGTCAGAGACAAGAGAATTTTGTTTTGGTTACACGTGTGTTTGATATACTTGGAAAAACATCATCAGTTTCAGTATCCAAACCAGTCTGACACATCTAGTTACACATGGAAATTTCTCTGTGTCTGGAATGGAATGCGCATTCTCTTACCCTGGAGACAACCCCTGATTTCCTAATTCCGAGAGTATTAGGCACAAGTTGATGAGAACCAAGGCTTAGGAACCAGAGTGTGCATTGGGATGTTGCTGGAATTTAACCAGCTAAGCTTGTCATTGCGAGCATTGTCGTTAGGTTGCTTATCCAGCTAGGATCAACCTACCAAGCTTTGCTTTGCAGGGATCACAGGAACTGATCCCCGTTCTCCTGTGAGAGATGGAGACAGAGATAATAATAATCCTTGCATTTGATATAGGATTTTTCACTTTGTAGATTTCAAAAAACCTTCACAGGATTTAATTAAGTTTAGTGAAGTGAATGACCAATTCTATCTGAAGGATTGTTGGGCAGAATATTGGGCAAAACTCTCTTCTGTTATCAAATAGTGCTATGTGATCTTTAAGATTCACTTGAACAGGCACATGGAATCTCAGTTTAACATCCAAAGGGCGGCACATCAACAACGCAGCACTCCACAGCTTTGTTTTGGAGCATCAGCCTTGACCGTGAGTTTGAAGTTCTGACGTGGGACGTGAACTTCAGAGGCGACAGTACTACCAACTGAGCCAAACCAAAAGGTAGAACCATAGAAATTCACAGCACAGTAGAAGACCATTTGGCCCATTGTGTCAGTACCAACTCTCTCAAGAACAATCCTTTCAGTCCCATTTACCTGCCCTTTCCCCATACCCATGTAGCTGACTCTTTTTAAGGTATTTATCTAGTTCTCTCTTGAAGGCCAATATGGATTCTGCCTTACTCACTGCTCCTGGCAGGTTATTCCATATCCTAATTACTCTGTGTATGATACCGATGGGGTCAGAGATAGAACCAGTTAGAGGCAGATCCAGCAATGAATAGATATATGAGATTGGGACAGAGCCAGAGTAAAAGGGAGACTCAGAGTTGGAGTTCATTGATATCCTTTTATGATCCTGCTCTTGTACAGTCTAATGTCAGAAGATACAGTACATTCAACAATATTCTGTAACAATAATGCACTATTATATCTAACATTGGCACATCAATACATAACCAGACCAATCTAACACACTATATGACACCCAGTTGTTAATATTTCACTGTCACTCGTAATATTAAACTCACGTTCTATAGTCATCTATATAACTTTGGAACCCAAATAAATGCTTTCATATTCTAGACATTTTAAAGTGGACTCTTTGTGTCTGGCTCCTTTGATGACACTGCTGTGAGTTGCAGAGTCCTATTGACCGGAATAGTCCTTGATACCTTTAGTCTGTGTTTCGGTAACTGCTAGCTCAGCATTAGAGGTTTATTAAATTGCCTTCACACCAAGGTAAAATCAGCCAGTCTCAATCCTGATTGCATGTCAATGACCTTTGCTACAAAAGTATTTGATCATTAGGCTTAAATTTTTTTTAGGTCTTCAATGTGATATCCTTTGCTAACGAATAGCCTACAAACATTTACTGTCAATGCTGGAGGTTGATCAGCAACCAAGGAACTGCACTGCCGTAGAAGGAAAAAAGGTATCAAAAGTTTCAGGAGAGGAAGAAAAAATTGCCAAGGCGTAAAGTTCCTTCATCCTGAGTATAAACAAACTTGTTTAACGAATTACCTTAAGAGACCTACAACCTATAATTTGTTGAGCAATCAACTTTTTGAACTGTTGTATGCACAGTTCTATTCCCAACTGAACGCGTGGAGTCGATCCATTGCAAAACAACAGCACAAAATATCTTCATGCAAAAACCGCAGATGAGCGCGTTCATTTTACTTATCCATACGCTGCCATTTCAGAGTCGACCAAAAATAACATTTCATCAATTGAGATAAAGTTGAAGCACTGCGGTGCGCAATTGGTTGCCGCCTTTCGCCCACAAAATAGTCACTGCATTTTACAGTGTATTCTGCAAAGCGCTTTGAGACGTCTCAACGATGCCGTAAGGCACGATATCAAATACAAGGATTATTATCATTCAAAATATTCTGCGGCAAGTCAGCACTTATTTTTTCATTTGCACTTTTCCATCGCCCTGTGCTGCACATTCCCACTCTCACTCTCTGGGACAGTCGGGGCGCTTGGAGGTAGGAGCGCGCACGCGCACAGATTCGAGCCGGGCCATGACGTCGTGGCCGATGACATCATGGCGGAAGCGCTGCTGGTGGGCACGTGACCGACGACCCAGCAGCGGAGCGAGTGAGCGGATTGGTTTCTGGGAGCTGTAGGTCCGGTCCCCGCCCCCCCCCACAACGTTGCATCGCTGGAGGAGGGCAACTGCGCGTGTGCCGTACGGCACGCCCCGGGGAAAGGTGGGGGCGCGTACGGCACCGCACATGCGCAGTTGCCGTCCGTCCGTCGGTCGATGCCGGGTGACAGCTGAGACGAACAGAATGAAGCTGAAGAGCGGAGTGTGAGAGCGGAGCGGAGAATGGCAGCAACTGCAGCCACAGCCATAGCCACAGCCATAGCCGGCAGCCGGTAACACCCCCGCCCCCCGCCCCGCCCCGCCCCCCTCCTCGGCTGGTGGCCACAGCACCTCAGGGCCCCGTCTCCGCGGCCACCAACCGCCCAAACAAAGAGAGCGCGAGAGAGGACACAACCGCCCCCACACACCAGCAAACACTCCCGGTGCTGGTGCCGCTCACTGCCCCGGTGCTGGTGCCGCTCACTGCCCCGGTGCTGGTGCCGCTCACTGCCCCGGTGCTGGTGCCGCTCACTGCCCCGGTGCTGGTGCCGCTCACTGCCCCGGTGCTGGTGCCGCTCACTGCCCCGGTGCTGGTGCCGCTCACTGCCCCGGTGCTGGTGCCGCTCACTGACCCGGTGCTGGTGCCGCTCCTCACTGCTGCAGGTGCCCCTCAGAGCCCCTGCCCTGCCGCCCTGCCCTCCCTGCCCTGCCCTCCCTGCCGCCCTGTCTGCCCTCCCTGCCCTGCCCTCCCTGCCTGCCCTGCCGCCCTGCCCTGCCCTGCCCTGCCCTCCCTGCCCTGTCCTGCCCTTCCCTCCCTGCCGCCCTGCCCTGCCCTCCCTGCCCTGTCCTGCCCTGCCCTGCCCTGCCGCCCTGCCCTGCCCTGCCGCCCTGCCCTGCCCTGCCGCCCTGCCCTGCCCTCCCTGCCGCCCTGCCCTGCCCTCCCTGCCGCCCTGCCCTCCCTGCCCTGCCCTGCCCTTCCCGCCGTCCCTCTACTATGTACAACTTCGTGGTCCGCGATCGGAACAGTTCGGTCTACGCTGAAGTGGGCAAAGTGCTGCTGTCCTCGGGGCAGTGGCGGAGGCTGAAGAAGGACAACCCCAGGTTTAACCTGATGCTGGGCGAGAGGAACAAGCTGCCGTTCGGGACACTGGGTAAGGGAGGGCCATCGTCTGTCTCTGCATGAACGCGCTCTGCAGTGCAGTTGGAGCTGATGGTGTTTGTGTGCATCTGTTTTCTTGGGTGGGGGTGTGGGGGGGGGGGGTGTGGGGTGTGGTGGGGGTGGGGGGGGTGGGGGTGTGGGGGGGGTGGTGGGGGTGTGGGTGTGTGGGTGTGGGGGGGGTGGTGTGGGTGTGTGGGGGGGGGTGTGGGTGTGTGGGGGGGGTGGTGGGGGTGTGGGGGTGTGGGGGGGGTGGTGGGGGTGTGGGGGGGGGTGGTGGGGGGGGGGGGGAGGGTTGTGATCTGTTACTTCATTTCTAAGTCGGTGCGGATTTGCTCTGCAGATCCGGGCGGTGTTGCTCTTTTCAGGCGCACCTGGCGGTGTGGTCCCCTTAACCCGTCTGTCTCTATAGTAATAAGAAGAATCCTCGCCTTTGATATAGTGCCTTGATCACGTCTTCGAGACGTCTCAAAGCGCTTCACAGAATACACCGTACGGTGAAATGACTGTATATTTTGTGCATGAAATGTAAGGTTCGGTATCTGTAATGTTCGTGGAGTGCATTGTCATCAGAACTTCCTTGCACCCGCAATGACCGAGTCTTCTCAACTGTTGAATGATTTGGTTCCAGAATTTTGTTTTAAATAACTTAAAATAAATCGAAATAACATGACATAAGGTACTTATTATTTTAAATATACTATCTCTGGTGCATTATCGCAGGAGCCAATGCAGTGATCTCTCCTGAACTTTTGTGCCACTAAATGCTCATCTGCAGAATTTGTACCGACCTTGGTCCCATTCTTGGAGAAGAAAAGCACTGATAGCATTAGTTGTAAAACTACTCGAAAATGAGTTTAGTCATCAACTACATACATTATTTAAAAGTAGTTTGTGCCGAATGGCCTGCTTCCGTGCCGTATCATTCTGTGTAATTTTATGTAACAAGGTGTGGTCCTTGAAAGTTGTGCTTCAGGTATCCAATTTACCAGACACTAATATTGAAAATAAAATGAAAATGTAGTTATACTGTATAATTGCTGCAGACAATCCAGGAAGAAGCTATACAATTACACTGTCTATGACTACTAAGTAATAAACGTAAATGTAGGTATCAAAACATTAAGAATGGGTTCACATAGGTTTCCTTCCACCCCAAAGAGAACTCCACTAATCATAATATCCTTTGTGTGTAAGCTGATAGATGGGGATGCAAGAGTGCCAGTTTACGCACACCTTAGTGCACCAGAATGCTGTCTCACAGCTGCCCAGTGCTTTTCCTAACATCTATATCTCTTTAATTTAGCAGTGTGTTACAAAATCATATCGACATTAGTGCTTGTCTGCAGTTCCTGGCTTTCTAACTGTTGGGGAACAATACTGGAAAATTCCTTTTGCCCTGATGGGTGGGGCAAATTGTTGATGTCTTAGTGCACTCTCGTGGCACTTGTGTAAGGACGTGTCCCCCGCCCCAGGTTTAAACGACACAGTGAGTTACTGATCTTGCTGGTCACGGGAGGGGAAAAGGAACAAAGAGTTTGTGAAAGCTAGCAGCCTCCCGTTATACAGTGAGGCAAGGCAAGAAATGGAAGAGAAAATTAGCTTATGACTGTCTCACAGTTTCCAGCAGTGTGCTTCAGCTTGAGCAAAACTGGAAGACGGGAACCTGTCTGCTCACTTTTACATTAAACTGAGTTGTGAGATAAAATACTATTTAAAAAAATGATATTTGAAAGGAAATAATTTAATCCATCATCAATTTGATCCTCCCTCTTCCCCTCCCTAAAATCTGGGACAGAAAGGTCTGCTGCAGTGCTGCAGTGTATCTTATCATTGCTGTCAACCAGTGCAGTGAATGCCAATAATGATGACTTTGTGTTTGCACAGTTTCTAATCTGACCTACCTGTCATTCTGTCTCGAAACCATGTACACTTCACTGGCTTCTGCCTTAGGGTTTGGCAGCCAAGTGATTCCAGGGCATTCTCAGCTATACATTGTGTAGTACTATATTTGGAACTGAGCACAAATTATTACCAGCTTCTGAAGTAAATAATGTTTAATTATTTGGGAGGACATTCGGTAATTATTTGGGGAGGACAAGTTTGCAGGGCTCAGGGGAGAACGTGGGGGAGTGGGATTGATTTGGATAACTCTTTTCAAAGAGCCGGTACAGACACAATGGGCCGAAGGGCCTCCTTTTGTGCTGTATCATTCTATGATTCTATGAATTGACGTTGGTCCCACTGTATATTAAAGTGTCTTAAAGAAAAGCAAAATGATTTGATATGGTGCCTTTCACATTGGTAGAACGAGTCAAAGCGCTCCACGGGATTTACGGTAGTCGCTGTGTAATTGCAGGTGAATGTGGCAGCCAATTTGTGCACTGCAATGTCTTCCATATGAAACGACTAACCAATTTTATCTGGGGGATCATTGGCCAGGATAGCAAGAGAAACTTCCTTTTCTTTTTGGAATTGGATTGTGAGATCTTTAATATAAACATGAACAGGCAGACAGAACCTCAGTTTAAAGTCTCATCTGAAGAATGCCACCTCCGACAATACAGCACTGCATTGGAGTGTTAGCCTACACTATATGAGTTCATGTATGTAGACAACAAGGTGAATAGGCATGTTGCTGTCCTTGGATTTTTCCAAGGCAAACAGAAAATGCTGATCTGTATTTCTTCCTTTTAAGTTATAACGTAGAATCTTCCCCAACTGTATGTTAGAAGGTTTAAATGATTCGCTTGAACCCCCCCCTAACCTATTTCTGTTCTTATTTGCAGGTCATGAACCAGGACTCTCACAACTTGTGAATTACTATAGGGGTGCTGACAAGCTTTGCCGCAAGGCTTCGTTAGTTAAGTACGTACAGTACTTGGAATGGAACATATCCCCTTGAGATCCTAAACTGTTGTACACCACAGAGCCAAGCTGTTTTCAAAGCTTTATTTTTGGCTGCTGTTGTTTCTTTCCATGAAAACACTGGAGGGAAAAAGAGTGCTGAAGAGTTACATAGACATTATTGATTAGTTCTCATATCACTGCAAAACCATTATCACTGTGTCCTATCTGATGCTGTAAGTTAAACAGACAGGAACGATTGTAGCAGATGTTGGCATTTGACTCTATGGTGCATATATTGCTCTCAGGAAAGTTGATTGCAAGTTTAAAAAATCTTTTCATTTGTGATAGGAGAATGTCATAAAGCATTTTATAGGATATTCTCTAAAATGTAGTGACTGTGAACTTTGTAGGTGAACATGGCAGCCAATTTGCGGACAATAAGCCTCAGTGACTGCTTGCAAACCACTTGCTTTATGAAGTTATTTCAAAATACAATGTGGTCAGCAATCTAATCCATATAGCTTTATTAAAATTGCATTTATTTTATGGAGCAGTATTTTGCTAAAGTCTGCACTAATGCCTATTTGTTCAAAGCTTTCCTTTACTTAAATATCAGTCTGCTGCATTAGGATACCATTAATATACTTTTCTGTTTCAGACTGATCAAGTCAATCCCAGAACTTATGGAATCATGCACATGGTTTCCTGAATCGTATGTGATTTATCCCATGGGTGCTAATACCACTGTGGAGTTGGCAAAGAATGGCTTCAGAGCTCAAAGGATTATTCCGAGGACAGACGATCGGGAAGCATTCCTGGCATCTTACAACAAGAGACTTGGGAATGTAGATGAAAATGTGTGGATAGCCAAATCTTCAGCAGGTGCCAAAGGTATGCACTGCCTGGCTATCCAAACGTAATGACAGCATTTCTCCTGGTAAACTCCTTAAGACCGATGCCATAAACGTTAAACTTGTTCTGACAAGTCCAAAATATTTGCATGAAGCTGGATGGCACGTTCCAAAATGAGTTGCCATTCTTTAAATTGTCAAGTTGCTTCAAAGTGTGTTGTCGTGCCTCAAACTGCATCATTGTGCAATGATGCGTTTTGATGCGAGAATGAGCTGCCCATCTCTCTGCCCTTATATGCAGTAATGTCAACTGTCATGTGACCAATGTGGAGGTGCTGACTGTTGACTTATTGCTTGTCGGCCTCCCCAACTCCTCCCTCCACAGGCTGCAGATCATCCAGAACTCTGCAGCCCGTATCCTGTCCTGCACCAGGCTCCGTGACCCTATCCTCGGCCGACTCCACCGGCTTCCCATCACACAGAGGTTACAGTTCAAGATCCTGGTCCTCACCTTCAAAGTCCTCCACGGTCTTGTTCCCCCCACCTCTCTGACCTCCTAATCCCCTACCACCCTGTTCGCTCAGCGGGCTCCTTCCGCCACTCTGCACCTACCCTCTGGAACTCCATCCCGCAGTCCCTCCATCTCGCCTCCTCCCTCACCACTTTCAAGACCCTTCTCTTCGACCGTGCTTTCAATCTCCCTGCTTTCCCCCCTGCCCTCCCCCACCCCAACCCCCAGCTTGGGTCTGTAACTCTGTCTGTCCAGCGACTTGGGACATCCTCCCGACATGAAAGGCGCTATACAAATGTAATTTTGTTGTTATTATAAGGCAGGTTGGGATTTTACTGTATTACCGTTAGCACTTTTCTCCATTCTTATGTACAGTTGTACTCATGTTATTGTGTCCCAATATAGTGCATGGTTCATTGTATAGCATGGATGTGCCATGGACCTGTGGTATATTGGAAGTGCAGTACATTTCCTGCTTTCAGTGTTTACTGATTGCTTCCTGTCTGTAGCACCCAGATGCATAAGGCATCTCGGTGTCTGGTAGTAAATACTACGTGGAGTCCTGTAGCTCAGTGGTGAGAGCACTTGCTTTGCAAGTGAGAGACCTGAGTTCAATTCCAGGCAGGGCGAAGCCTTGGGCAAGTTTCCTTATTCCACACGCCTAATAATAATCCCTCCAAAAAAACAAAACAATAATAAATTGGTATTTTCAATCCATGGCTGTTTCTGGGACATTGCTGTGCGCAATTGGCTGCCGCGTTTGCCCACAAATATACAGTCAATTCACTTTACAGTATATTCCGTGAAGCGCTTTGGGACGTCTAGAAGACGTGAAAAGCGCTATATCAAATGCAAGGATTATTATTATTAAATAATGCTTACATTTTTTTCTGGTACTGTATAGTGCCTTTCAGATCAGGAGGATGTCTCAAAGCATGTCACAGGATATACTACAAAGTGCAGTGACTGTGTGTTTTGTAGGTGAACCCAGAAAAGCTTGCAAGAGCATTTGCTGGCTTCTTGCCTACTGCTCGCATGAAGTGACTCAGCCCCATTTCTATAGCCTGTTATAATGAGGTTTCTGCAAATACTGAATTTTAATGGGATCGGACTCTTTGTTAGATGCAGATATGTTGTTATATGCAAGCAAGACTTAAGTGAACGAAGAATGAATTTAACAGTGACCTGGACCAAGATACAAGTTGTTACTTTACTGGTGCTGTAGTATTGTAGAGGTTTTGATTTCTGGCAGTGATTTCAGGGAGATTAGGTGCATTCTCAAGAGCTTGTGAATAAAATATGTGATGGGACACGAGAGTCAATAGTTGTTTTATCCTGTTCAGCTTTTATTTTTATCATGACCAGACACTGTTAAGGTGCTGATGTACTAAATTTACCAGAGGCGATGATGTCGATGCTTACCTTGGTAGATTCTATTACTGATATCTTTGATGTAAATCAGTAACTATGGTCTAGAATCACATACACTCCTCTCGCTATCTCACATCCATCAACAAATACTTTCCAATAGGAACAGTAACAGAGTACAAGACTGCCTCATTATCGCTTTTCCGGGGTTAATAATTCCTGCAAAAAAATAATAATAATAAATTGGTCGCTCAATCCACAACTGTTTGTGGGACACTGCTGTGCGCAATTGGGTGCCCACAAAATATACAGTCAATTCCCTTTACAGTATATTCTGTAAAGTGCTTTGGGACATCTCAAAAATGTGATAAGATGCTACATCAAAGTGCAAGGATTATAATGCTCTTCAGGCAGGATAGCAGCCCGGAGCGCCTCACAATGGTGGGGTTGGATGCCAAGTGATGGGAAGGGGGATGATATAGCTGGGGAATAGGGGACACCCAGTAGGTCTGTGTTTGATGAGCGAAGGGATGAGCAGTGAAGTGGAGAACAAGCAGGTCAGAGAGGCAGGGAGGAGCTAAGGCATGAAGAAATTACTTTGGTTTCAGGAGGAATTTTTCTAACATGTGGAACAGAATTTTCTGGATATATTCGGCCACAAAACACACAGTCACTACACTTTATAGTATATCCTGTGAAGTGCTTTAAGACATCTCGAAGACATAAGGTGCTATATCAAATGTAAGGTTTATTATAATATTGGGGATTGATAATACGTGCAGCAAGTTGTTGCTCTTCTCAGTGGCCTTTACTTTAAATGGACAACTGTAGGATAGTTGCTTTATCATCTCATTATTTCTGCTTGTGTTGTAGTGCACTATTTATTTGCACTCGTACATAGACTTATGCCAGAAAATATCTTGAAATCCTGGACAGAATGTTTTCCATTCCAGCCTGTTCAATAACTGGATTTACTGAACATGTTCTTCATTTCAGGAGCTGGAATTTTGATCTCCTCTGATGCCAATGAACTATTGGACTACATAGATAATCAAGGACAAGTTCATGTGATTCAGAAATACCTTGAGAGACCTTTATTATTAGAACCAGGACATCGCAAATTTGATATAAGGTAAGATGTGTCCAATTTCTCATTATTTTGCTGCTCTGTTGCCAATTTTGATAGGATTGGTGTCTATTATGCATATGTGAAATGTTGGACAAGTTTCCTTACTCCACACGCATCTGTTTACCTAGTAGTAAGTGGGAATCCGGTTGTTAGTTGAATGGCGGATCGCTTTTCCGTCGATGATAATCCTTAAAAAAAATAATAATTTGCTCACTCAATCCACGACTTTTTGTGGGATACTGCTGTGCGCAATTGGCTGCCGTGTTTCGCCTACAAAAACACAATCAATTAATTTTACAGTGTATTCTGTGAAGCACTTTGAGATGTCTAGAAGATGTGAAAACTGCTATATCAAATGCAAGGATTATTATTATTATTTATTTGTGTAAATGCAAGTGTATTACATGCTATGTTTAAACCCATGTTTGCAGATGGTATTATAGGAGCGCTTGATTATGTAATTAAAAACCAATGAAAAGGATTGGTCAATTGTACAATTAAGGTTACATGAACATGTGCATTTACCTATGATTTACACATGGGTTACATACAGCACATATTATACCTGTATTTACTGATGACCTTAGTGGAGCCATTATTTCAAAATTGTAGCTGTGCTGAGTATCAATGCTCTGCAATTCTTTAAAGAAAACTTACCACACTTTTTTGTTTATTCCCTCTGGTCCTGTACATTGTCAAAATGGGTACTACAACAACTTGCATTCATATAGCACTCTTTCATCCGGGATAGCGTCCTGAAGCGCTTCACAGTGGCAGAGTTTGACCCCAAGCCAGAGGGAGGAGGAGGTGACCGTAAGCACGATCAAAAAGAAGAATCTTTCAGGGGATTTGAAGGTGGGGCGGGTGAGGGCAAGGCAGAGGGATTAAGGGAGAGAGTTCCAGAGCTTTAGGGTGTAGTGGTTGAAGGCATAGCCACCGATGGTGGAATGGAGGGCACAAGGGACAAATTGGAGGCAGTGGGTGGTGGAGTTGGAGTTAAGCAGGTCGGATAGGTAGGAAGGTGTGAGGGAATTAAGTGATTTGAAAATGAACGAGAAGATCTTCACATCGATCTGTTTGGTGATTGGGAGCCAGTGGAGCCTGGCAAGGACTGGTGTGATGGGTTAGATAGTTGATTCTGGCTTCTTATGAGGAAGAATAAGCTTTTGTTGAGAGGACACTATATTGTCAGTGACTATAGATTAACACTTATTATCAATATGGTGTCGTGTTCTGGTATTCTCTTATAAGAGGTGCTACAGTGTAGGTTTGAGGCTGCCACACCCTATGCAGTGAGCTCCCAATTTCATGGAGAAGTGGTAAGCGGAGACCAGGCATTTACATGCAAGTAATGGAGCTGACACCCCTCCCACCCACCCTGCACACACGCACTTTTTCTTGCTTACTATATACTGGATGTTTTTAAGCAAATTCTTTAGTTAACCTGCAAGCTATTTGCTGGTATCCACTATGTTAGAAACTTCCCAGATAGTGGTGAGCACAAATACGGTCAATAATGATCAATATTTTTTAGCCCAGGTTTTCATCGGGTTTTTCTCCACAGGAGCTACTCCCATTGCTTGTTTATATAAAGATGTAGTGTGTTGCTGACAAGTGATGAATGATTGGAGAGGTAAGATTTGTGCTGTAGCATTGCACTCTGCTGTACCTGTGTCCACCGTTACACAGTAGAAGGACGCAGGTCTGTAGATTTTATTTTGAAAATAACAACATTCCAATCTTCAAATCTTATTTTTTTGTTTGGAGAGGGAAGGAGAGAACAACAGTGACCATTCTTGAAGGCTAATTCTGGCAGGCATCCTTTGTCAAAGGCATCAAATCAGTAGGTTTGATCTCAGACTTGCTCTCAAGGAGAGGTGATGAACATAGGCCAGCCATGCCCATCCTCTGAACCATAGAGAAGAATGTAACATCTTTCACATGTGTTTTGCTAATTGAACCGGTGCCAAACAATGTTTAGATTGTTGAGAGCTTCTTGACCAAGCTGCAGTACAAGTGATGGTATGAGGATCCTTGCTCCAATATGATTTGTCTCAGTGCCCTGCAGGGAAAGGTCAAATGTGCATCCTGATTGCCATTGCTCCCTAGTTGTGAGTGCATGTACATGGATGTCAGTTGAAGACAGGATGGGGCTTGGCTTGGAGGAACACCTCCACACACCATACTCAAGAAGGCTGCCAACACTCACTGTCTGGGCAGGAAGAATACCCACTTGGGTAAAGTATCAAATGGATACCAGGCATAGAAATGTAGAATTTCTCCACTGTGATTCAGCATCTATAGGATACAAAGGGAGACTGAGGTGACCATGGCGAAGTGATGGTAACCGTAAGTATTTACTCTTGCATTGTCCAGTTCTGTTTAAATGTGCAAACTCTTTATGGTGCATTATTTTGTTATCTCCAGAAGCTGGGTCCTGCTGGATCATCACTATAACATTTACCTCTACAAGGAGGGTGTTTTGCGGACTTCCTCTGAACCATACAACAGCACTGACTTTCAGGATAAAACCAGCCATCTAACGAATCATTGCATTCAGAAAGAATTATCCAAAAATTATGGGAAATATGAAGATGGGAATGAAATGTTCTTCGAAGAATTCAATCAGTATTTAATGAACACTCATAATGTTAATTTGGACAGCAGTATTTTACCACAAATCAAGCAAATCATAAGGTAAATTTTAACCTTTCTGTATTCTACATAATCAATCTGCTTTCAACCAGATCGCCAGTCAGTTTGTGTTCATGCTATTCTTTGGCTAAAGGATTATTGATACTGACAATTATTCAAATTGAAATTTTAACTGCCTGTGTCTGGAATTTTTAGGAACCTCAACTTGTTTTGAAGTTGAAATGTTCTGCTCATGTGATTTCACACATGAAATATCTAATTCAATTTCTTACACTTAAAGGCATTTTAAAGGTGTGTGTAGGCCTGTCTCAATGGTAGCACTCTTGCTTCTGAGTCAAAAGGTTATGAATTCAAGCTCGACATTGGGACTTGCAATCATATAGTCTAAGATGACACTCCAATGCAGTGCTGGGGGTGTGTTGCAATGGAGTGTTGCGTTGCATTCGGAGATGCTGTCCTTCGGATGTGAAACCGAGGTGCCTTCTGCCTGTTCAGGTGGACATTAAAGATCAAATGGCACCATTCCAAAACAGAAGTGAGTTTCACCTGGTGTCCTGGCCAATAAATCCCCTAAATAAAATTATTCACTCACTCTATGGGTACTTGTGGGACAATGCGGTGCACAAATTGGCTACTGTGTTTTGCCCACAAAATACAGACAATCCACTTTATAATATATCCTGTGAAGCGCTTTGATACGTCTTGGTATCAGAAGGTGCTATTTCAACTGTAAGGATTATTATCTTAGTTTAACATTTTTTCACAAGACTGTTAAAGGCAATTTAACAGTCCAGTAGCAAATGGGTGTGTGATCCTTCCCACATTTTCCACAACAGTGACTCCCTGTAGGCATCTAGATATAATATGACCTTTATAGCATTTAAACTGAATAGGTGGGAGCTAAAGAAATGGACATTTCCATTTTGCCTTACTCTGTAATGTAGTGAATTCCTTTATTGTTATATTTATTTTAAAAGGCTACAAGGTCTTTTGCCTCCAAGCATTGTTTTGTACATAGGTAAGCATTTGTAGGTTGCTATCTGAATGCTATGATTTATGAGAAGTGTATTTGTTGTGGTTAAGTCAGGCAGTAACTTTTGTACCCACTGTGTTGTGGTGAGGTTCCTTATCCAGGACACTAGATGAGCTTTTCAAATGTATCACAACTGCAGTTGGTGGATTTGCATGTCAGGTAATCATGAGTCGCAAAATATTTGTGACCATTTTTTAGCAGGTCACACCAATAAGAACTTCCATTTTTATGGCACCTTGGGAAGATGGGACTTCCAGCTTTGCACTGAGATGTTAGTTAGAAGTGTTTAAATGTGACTTTTTTCTCATTTCTATTATCTTTTGTGGTGAATCTTTGCTATTATTGATGATTGTTACAATTACACTTTTTCCGTCTTTAGAAGCTGCCTCATGTGTATAGAGCCTGCAATTGGCACTAAGCTTCTCCCATACAACAGCTTTCAGCTCTTTGGCTTTGATTTTATGGTTGATGAAGATCTCAAGGTCTGGCTGATTGAAGTAAATGGAGCTCCAGCCTGTGCCCAGTAAGAAATTGATTTGCCAGCATGTTTTTTCACTTGGTTTGCTGTTGTGCTTTGTCAGTAATTTATGTGGCAGTTTAGCAAATATCCCAGGAAAACATAGCGTGTTGTGTAAGTGTCATTTTATTTAGAGCTTTACTGTATTGCTTTCTGAAAGATCTTTGGCGATTGGGTAACTGATTGTGCATTTGCTTTGCAGAAAGTCTAGGATAATTAATTTAGGTACTGGCTACCTTATTAAATAATCTTCAAAAAATCCAAGCTGCCTTAAATTATTCAATTTTTAATAGCTGCCTCTTGGTCCAATAGACTTTCCTGCCGGTATTTGTTGCTAATCCTGCAGCTCTAAGGTGTTTGAATTGTTGAAGGCATTTGGTAAATTTCCATATGATGGATGACTTGTGTCATCAAGAAAATTATAGCTCGTGGATAAAATAGTTGGTCACTTTGAAAAAATTTTAGAAAGAGGAAGATGACAAATCAAATAAGCTTAATCTTTTGGGGTCTTTTACTGTTCACCACACTAAGTGGTTAAACATACATTGAACAATGCGAAATTTGCAGATGGCATTAAACATTGAGGAGGTGACAACTAATAAGAGATATTGAATTAATTCAAAAATATTCTGGAGGTTAGTAAGGAATGGGTAAATATTTGGGATTGATAGTTAATAGGGTAAATACAAGTTGAATACGCAACAAAAGGTCATGGCTTTAACCTCAGAAGAAGCAGTAAATTTAAATGGATTTAGATGTCTATTTGATGGAGAAATCTATTGAGGGGTATGAGACACAGGAATGTTCATCTATTTTTACTTTGATATCAACTAGATGGACCACAATGGGCTTTTACAATCCTTACATTCCTGTATCGCTTTTTGTTTGGTCATCTGGGAGTTTAACCTCCGAAAACCCATCACCATGCTTAAGAGTATCCAAGCCAGACTGAGAGTTCCACTTATGCATGTCACCAGTTTACGCTGAGGTTAATCAACGTGGAATAGTTTGTCAAGGGATGCAGTGGAGGCAGACAATGTGGCAGTGAATTTAAAGGTAAAATTGGATATGCTTTGATGATGGAGTTTGGAGGATATGTGACAGAGGGAGACAGATGGTACATGAAAATGGGACTGGCCAGATGGACTATAGTGGTCTTTTCTGATTCTGCCGGTTCCTGTGTCCTATACTTTGGGAATGTCACGGTCCCCAGGTGGGACTGTGAATATGTCAGGCAAAGAAAACCAACCAATTGAAGGATGTAAGGTGAGATGGATATTTTCAAATTCTTTGGATTTTTTGGAAGGAGAGAGGCACTATGTTTCCCTCATAAGGAAACTGAATGGGTAGTGTCCACGATAGTGCTCTACTACACTCTGTATTGTCTTCTGTATTTATGCAGAGTAACATATTACTCAAGTACATATTACTGACCCTACTATGCCAAAGATAAAAAATTTAGGATTTTGAGATTTTGAACCTTTAAAATCTTTGATTCTAATATCAGGCCTTTTAGTTCTCAGACTTGAATTAATATTTTGGATCAGGAAATGAAAATTTAATAATAATGTTGCAACACAAGAATATAAGGAGGATAGTGATCGAAATAATAGGTAAGATGAGCTGGTCTGTATTTTTAAAGAAAGTTTTCCATGAAGGATATGTCACAAGAGGAAAATGTTTGTAAATACAACTTTTCTGTCCTTGTGTTTTCCTTTACTTTCCTGAAATCACTGACATACTGAAATACATGAGAACCATCAAATCTCTGCTAACTTACCCAAGAAGCCATTCTCCATGTGTAAACCCAGAGGGTGCATCTATAGTCTGTACAACCATATAATTGACAGTGGTCAAAAAGACCTCATGTGATGCCTACACATGCAGCTTCCAGGCGTCACTGGGTAGTGAGAACTCTAAATGATCCACCCCCCACCCGATTGGGATTTTATTGTTCTCTTGGCTGTGTCTCTCATATTTTTATCCTTGTTTTCAGGAAACTCTATGCTGAACTTTGTCAAGGAATAGTGGATATAGCCATTTCCAGTGTCTTCCCAATAAGTGATGCACCACAGAAGCCAAGCCAACAATCAGTCTTCATCAAACTGGGAAGTTAATAACAGTGTCATCTTTTCCTGCTCTCTCTCCCCCCCCCCCCCCCCCCATTTTAAAATCAAAACATTCACTAAAGTGCACCTGGCATTGTCAACAGAATCCTGTTCGTCCTACTCTTTATAGTATCCCTGAAGTCTATTGAACGACCATTACGGATGTAAACTGTGGCTAGCAATTGTTATGGTAACCTTTAAATACAAGATGAGGCTGATTATTTGTATGAATCAATAGCTTGATAGTTATGCAGCTTTAGCACATTTTTGTTGGCGGGGGGGGTGTGGGAGGAAAGGAGAGAATTACATCGAATTCCAGAAAAAAGGAATGGTGTTTCCCGACACGCTATTTTTCAAACTCTGCTGAATGTGTTGCGCTTCTTACACATGTCTAGTATGTGTAATAGTACCCAAAGCAAACGTCGACTGTTCAGATAGAAATGGGATCCTGAAGGATTTTATTGAAGTACTCAGTGATGCACTCAATGATAGTACTGTACTAAAACAGTTATAGACTTCTGAAAATGCTTTACTGTTTTTTGCTAATATCATTCATAGTGGTGCATAGGAATGGATATCACTGTGAACATATAGAGACTAAACTGACTTCCGATCTGTGTGAAGGAATGTGCACAATACTGCATCGATCATGAATTTTACTGTTTCAGAAGCCAGGAGGTATGGTCCACGTGCACTGCTTTCGTTCAAATTACAACACTGTGTAGCTGTCCTTAAATGCAATTGATAGCAAGAATAAAGCAAACCAATAACTCAACTTCTGTTAGTTTATTATGTTAATGTGTGATTCTCCTAGAGGACCAAAATAGAGCCAATTTTAAAGATGCCAATTTTAAGTAAACCATATCCTTTCTGTATTTATTTTTCTTACCATTGATGCCATTTTTTTAAAATCTCTGCAGGATGAAATGGACTATTCAAACTTTTAAAGTATATTTTCTGTTCTGTTTATAGCAGGGGTGTCAAACTCATTTTATATGGTGGGCCTGATCCGATATCCTGGCACTTGGTGTGGGCCACATTCAGCAAAAGTTATTGAAACAGAAATAAAGATAAACCATATTGATACTTACTTACATTTACATTTTATTTATTGTTACTGCTATTTATTCCAATATCTCTTAGCTTGAACCATTGCATTACTTGGAGCAAATGCTTCGGCTGAAGCTGTCTTGAGTATCAAGTTCAGATTTGTGTCACAAATGGTTTAGACTTGTTGATATTGATGGAGAATATTTGTTCACTCACATATATGGTCCCAAACATGGAAAGAATTCTTGATGTAAAAGACTTCAGTTTGGGATAATTAGGTGCTAGGAATTGATAAAACGTGGTAACATCAATATTGGAAAACTTGTCCTTCAACAAGTCACACTGCAGTTCAATAACTTCCATTTGCAGCTCCTATGGTACATCATGCACACTGACAGAAAATGGTGTGCTGAAAATTGCAAACTAAGAGAATTCCTGAAGTCAGAGAATCGTTCTTCAAATTCCTTTCTCAGTCTAACAAATTTTGCACGTATGTTCTGTGCAGCATCACATTGAGTTCCAATAGTAAATTCAAGGTGGAAAAATGTGCCAAGTTACTCTGATAAAGTTGCTTCTCCCACAGCCGAAGCTTAATGTCGAAGGCTAAATGTTGGCTTAATATTCTGTCATTACTTGGTTGTGCCCTTGCATTCTTCTGTTGAGTGAGTTCAAGTGCTCTGTAACGTCCACCTGAAAGCAAAGTATTGAAGCCATTCATTTTCCTATAATTCAGTAACAATGTCTCCATGCTGATCCATGAATAATAGGTTCTCAAGACACAATTCAATAAAGCATTTCAGCACAGAAAATAGCCTGTCCCTGACATAGCCACTGAAATTCAGTGTGATGTGGTAATCCATGGTGAATTTTACATTCTTCCACAGCTGATTATATTGACGGTGATTGAGACCTGTATTTACGGTTTTAATAACCATGTTCAAAACATGATTCATTTTCAAAGTTTTAGTACATAGCTTCTTGGTGTAAAGTTTAGTGAAAACTACAAAACCACTGGTTTGGGTTGATAGTTTGCAATTTGACCTTCAATTTTATCTCAACTCCTGTTTTCTTGCCCACCATTAACAGTGCTCTGTCTATGGCCAGACTCACAGCTCTTGTCCAGTCCACATCCAGAGCTCCCACAAGTTGTTGAAAAGGTCATTTGCCCTTGTTGTGTCTCTCATCAGCACCAATTTTGCAAGTACATGTTGTCATCACCTCCATGAATGAATAATGCTGGCTGAACCATGTTAGTTACGTCAATTGCAATTGGAAAAAGCAGCAAAGGACTGTTTTGTCCTGGAGTCGAATGTTCAAATTCTTAGCTAAATCATTGATTCTCTTGAGAGGCTGATATTTGAAAAACCTTGTCACTTATCTGGACACATTATTTCTGCAGCTTGTTAGCATGCAGTTGTTCAGAAATTTCCCCTCACAAAATGATTTCAATGACACATCCATTTGATGGGCAATTACATAGCTCATCTTAGCAGCAGCATCACCTATGTGGTGAGCAATAGTAAACATTGATTGCTACTTTTTCAACAACTGCTATTCAGAAAATTTATTTTCGTGTAACTTTTCTGTGCGCTCATATTTCTCACTGTGGTTTGCTTCATAGTGTCTTCGAACATTGTATTCTTTCACCACGGCTACCTGTTGCTTACAAATAAAGCATGTGTGCTTTCCATTCATGACCACAAAGAAATATGAAATTCTCCATTCCTCTTGAAATGCTTGATCTACCTCTTTCTTCTTGGATAAAGATATGAGGGCTACTTATCACTACAGAACTTAAAAATCAGGGATCAAAGTTACAAGACGTTGAAATGCGCTGCAAGATGTGATCGATGTTACCAGATGTTGAAAAACTGAGTCAGACAAATGGTGGCAGACGCAATTGCCATCGCTTGCCAATACGGCTATTAGATGCGTAAGAGATTTCAACTTGTTATAAAACTAGCCCACACACTTGGCTAGGGGTGCAACCCCAAGAAGCTAGATTTAAAAAAATGAAGGTTCATGGGAAGTCTGGGCCAGATTTGTTTGACCTCCCTGGTTTGTAGCCAACACAAACCCAGATCGAGCTAAAGTGTATTAATCCAAACAAAAATGCAAATGGCGTTTTAAAAAAAAAACATTTGGTATAGCACCTTTTCATGTCAGAAGAATGTTTCAAAGCGCTTCACAGCATCTGCTGGAAAGTGTAATCACTGTGTATTTGTAGGCAAATGCAGTAGCCACTTTACACACAGCAATGTTCTACAAACAACCAGACATGGTCACATTACTTTGTGATAGCATCTTACTACAGCAGTCCTAAGAGTGGCTCACAGGCAAGAGTGGCTCACTACTTGGGTTGTAAAACAAATGTTTGTGAGTGACAGTGGAATACTTTAAAGTTACCTTGGTTTCTGTCAGCTAAATTGTTCCATATTATGTCTTGTGAACAGCATTAAGCAGTTTAGCAGCTTAAGCACACTAAGCAACTGATTCTAGCCAAGTGATTAACATTTTAATTCAATATTCTTTAAATAAGGAAGCGTATAGATTGTTACCTGGGAACTCTTTAACAGATCTGCCCCGTGTGCTCTTAATTACCAAGCAGCACACCTTTTCAGTCAGCTGACAAATCAAAGAACATAAGAATAATCCTTGCATTTGATATAGCACCTTACCACGTCTTCGAGATGACTCAAAGCACTTCACAGAATATACTACAAAATGAATTGACTGTGTATTTTGTGTGCGAAACGCGGCAGCCAATTACGCACAGTGGGGTCCCCCAAACAGTCATGGATTGAGTGATCAATTTTTTTTTGGTACATCAACTGAACCAACTATCTGGTTTCCCCAAAAGGGAACTATGAATTAAAAAAAGGGAAACCAGATACCAAATCTCTTGAGCTGGGCACGTTGACATTTTAATTAGGCCAGCACTGACACTAGCAAACACATTTACATATAAAAATAACAATCGTATTTTCAGAAAAAAAGATACTTATTGTGATATATTGTTTTTTTAATTCATAGTTGATATACCAAAAATAAAAAAATTATGGTCACTCATGACTGTTTGGGGGATGCTGCTGTGCACAATTGGTTACTGCGTTTCTCCCACAAAACAGTCAATTCACGTTACAGTATATTTTGTGAAGCACTTTAAGACAGCTCGACATGATAAGGCGCTATATCAAATGCAAGGATTATTATTATTATGTTCTTTGAATTATAAGCCGACTGACAAGGCAGGTTTGCTGCTTGGTAATTAAGATTGTTAATTACTCTTGTAAAATGGAAACCTGTCTCTGTTTTGCAGTCCATATTGGGTAGCCTTGAATTTACAGTAGTTTGTACACTGAGAACTCCCAAACTGTGGAGAGGTTGACAGGATTACAAGATAGTGGATTCATGGTGTAATAAAGAATACAAGTAATACTGGGATGATGTATGAGCACACAGCACAAATACATCAAATACTCTTTGAACCCCAAGTGCCAAAAAGTTATTTACATTATATATTCTGTTAAATGTCTACATTTTCTGGCTATTATTGAATGTTTTATTTGCCACATGTACAGTTATGACAATTTGAACTATTTCAACATTATACAACCACAAAAAATTGCACTGATATAGCATCTTTTGAATGGGGAGAACGTCTCAGAATGCTTTGCATGGATCGAGAGGGAAGATAAAGTGGTGAAGGGAGGTGGCCAAGAGCGAAGTCAAAGAGTTAGGTCTTTGGGTGGGTTTGAATGCAGAGAGGGAGGGTGTCAGCTGAAGAGACTTCCAGAGAGAGAGAGAGACGGAGCAGGGAACACATAGAGTGACCAGGCAAGTAAAGTCACAAGAGGTCGAAGAGATAAAATGAGGCAGGCATTTGAATGTGAAGACATAAAGCTGATCCACTCTGGGAGTGGGAATCAGTGGAGCCAAAAGATGGCAGTGATGGGCATGCAGGGCCCATTGCGGGAGAGGACGTGGGCTGTGAAGTGGATTAATATTTTGAGCCTGGACCGTCTTTGTGAAGCTCCAATAAAAGTTGGCACATCAAAAACCTGCATGAAGAAAAATGTGATCCTGTAATTGCAAACAAATCGATTTGTTAACCGACTGAGAAGTGAAATACCAGTGGACGCTCTTCTGAAACGTAAAAGGTAAACGTTCCCAAACATTCCGTTGAGGGCTTCCCCAAAATTTCCTTCCCGCGGACGGCGTGAAATCTGAATCGGCTCCGACGTAAATAAATCATTCTGGCCCAAATTGGTGCGTCTTGAGTTCAGCAACAAACTCAGCAAGAACAATACAATTCTAAACCAGATACACCCATCAGAGAAACGCATGCAACCGGCTTCTCCAGTACTGTCCGCATCTGGAGCTGTGCTGACTTCAATTTGTTCTCCCTCTCTGGATTTGGTTTACAAAATATGGCCCACCCTCGCGTTACGCCTTTCCTAATGTTATTTGTCTCCGAAGTAGCCTCCCAATGCTACGAATTATGTCCGCCTCTCAACACGTTTTTCCTGACCTAGGAAAATACAAATATTGATTTTAAATGTTTTACACGAATAGGTGTCGGATGCTTCCCTGTACCCCCCTTTTTTAGATAAGAGGGAATCAATGTGGGACGACGACTCAACAACAACAACAAGATTCCATTTATAAAGCGCCTTTCACGTCAGGAGGACGTCCCAAGGCGCTGCACAGTTGGGTCATGACTCGCATTTATACAGCGCCCTTCAGGACGGATAGTGCTTCTGAGCGCTTAAGGGCAAAGGGCAAATTGCACCAGTTGATTTATCAGCTAATAACTGGACTTGACCCCAACATCAGTCGTTTACACCCTTTCAGGAGAGGAGAGTTTGGGCAGAAAAAAAAAGAGCTCAACAATCCATACAGTGTTTATAGTCTTTGAATAAAAGGCCCTAAGGCATAAATAATTAAACACGACTATTTCAGCAGAGGCAGCGTCGAGTGGGTGATGCAGTGCAAGTCGTGGAGCAGCTGCAGATGATAATATAAAAGTGTGAATCCCTCATCTGCTTTCCTGGTGATTCAGGACTCAGTGTTTGTCTCATCACAAATGTGCAGCAGAACTGCAAATAGCAAAGCGGAACCTTTGTCCGCGCGCCTCGTGTCCCCTCCTCCTGGCGGAGCCCTGAGTGGGCGGCGCGGCGGCACATGGAGGACGGCAAGTGGCGCAGTGTGAGTGAGGAGCAGCGGTGGCCGAGCCTGCGGGGCCTGACCCAGGCCGGGGGGGGCCGCCCGGGGCCGCGGCAGCACCAGGCGCTGCAGGAGCTGGTCAGGGCCCACGTGGACTCCTTCGACCAGGCGACCGGCGACGGGCTGGTGCGGGCGGCGCAGGTGAGAGGAGCACGTGGCCCCCCCCCCATGGCCCCCCCCCCCCATGGCCTCCCCCCCTCCCCCTCCTCCCCCCCCATGGCCTCCCCCCCCCTCCCCCCCCATGGCCTCCCCCCCTCCCCCCCCATGGCCTGCCCCCCCCCCCCCCCATGGCCCCCCCCTCCCCCCCCCCATGGCCCCCCCCCCCCCCCCCATGGCCGCCCCCCCCCCCCTCCCCCCCCATGGCCCCCCCCCCCATGGCCGCCCCCCCCCATGGCCGCCCCCCCCCCCCTCCCCCCCCCCCCATGGCCGCCCCCCCTCCCCCATGGCCTGCCCCCCCCATGGCCTGCCCCCCCCCCCCATGGCCGCCCCCCCCCCCCATGGCCGCCCCCCCCCCATGGCCGCCCCCCCCCCCCCCCCCCCCCCCCCCATGGCCCCCCCCCCCCCTCCCCCCCCCCCCATGGCCTGCCCCCCCTCCCCCATGGCCTGCCCCCCCCCCCCCCCCCCCCCCCCCCCATGGCCTGCCCCCCCCCCCCATGGCCTGCCCCCCCCCTCCCCCATGGCCTGCCCCCCCCCCCCCCATGGCCTGCCCCCCCCCCCTCCCCCATGGCCTGCCCCCCCTCCCCATGGCCGCCCCCCCCCCCCATGGCCTGCCCCCCCCCCCCATGGCCTGCCCCCCCCCCCCCCCCATGGCCTGCCCCCCCCCCCCCATGGCCGCCCCCCCCCCCCCCATGGCCGCCCCCCCTCCCCATGGCCTGCCCCCCCCCCCCCCCCCCCGCCCCCCCCCCCTCCCCTGGCCGCCCCCCCCCCTCCCCCCCATGCCTCCCCCCCCCCCCCCCGGGGCTTGTTTGCTACTCTCTGACTGCCCCACTTTCCTTCATTCTCCAAATACCATTGGAACCGACCACCTTTTGGTAGAATTGACTACCTTTAACCTTTAGTCACTCTCTACACAGTTGAGAATGTGTTTTAAAGTAAATTGATTTATTTCACCTGCAGGGAGGCTGAGCTGAAGTAATAGGAATCAAATGACATTATGCCACTCGGTTTACTTTTTCTTAAAATTCATTGAATTGCAACTTGCTGAGACCGACTTGCATGTTCCGCAATTCATTTCATACGTTTAAAAAAAACCTCTTGTGTGGCAAGTGACAATGCCAGATATAAATGTGACGCGATTCTTTTTGAAAATCATGTATTTTCAATCCCTTCTTGCAGGCGATTCCCCCACTGGAGTTCAACTTCAAAAATGAACGTATCTCTCTGGCGTTTGTGGATGCTGTCATCTCCCCTCCTATGGTGCCTAAAGGCTGCATCTGCAGTGACCTGAAAATCTACCCAGCAGAGTGCAGAGGACGGCGGAGTACTTACAAGGGGAAGCTAACTGTAAGTATGGGTGGTCCGACACAGGCGGATAGGAGGTGGGGGCGGAGAAAATCTCAAATCATGGGTAAATTTTAACCAACATTGTCGGGTAAGAAGATCATATTCTTCATTTCACCTGCTTGTGCAATGTAAGTTCAACAACCCCTCACACTGTGCTGTCACCAAACTCATCCTATTCCTGAAACCCACCACCTGTTCCCTTGACCCCATCCCCACTCCACTCCTTATCTCCCAGCTCCACCTCCTTGCCCCACATATCACACACATCATCAACCTGTCCCTCTCCTCTGGCTCTGTTCCCATTCCCCTAAAAACTGCCATCATCACTCCCACTTTGAAAAAACCCTCCCTTGATGCGTCGCAGCTATCAAGCTACCGGCCCATCTCCAACCTCCCCTCCTGTCCAGGTCCTGGAAGAGTTGTCGCCTCCCAACTGCGCTCTTTCCTCTCCACCCATTCATTATTCAAACCCCTTCAGTCGGGTTTCCGTGCTGCCCACAGCACAGAAACTGCCCTGGTCAAGGTCACCAATGACATCTTGACCATCTGCGACCAGGGCTCCCTCTGCCTCCTCGTCCTCCTCGAGCTATCGGCGGCATTCGATACGGTCGACCACGCTATCCTCCTCCACCGCATATCCTCCCACCTCAACCTTCAAGGCTCTGTCCTTGAGTGGTTTAGGTCGTACTTCTCCCACCGTCTTCATTTTGTTTCCACAAACGGCTTTTCCTCCATCCCCCGCACTGTCTCGTGCGGTGTCCCTCAGGGCTCTGTCCTCGGTCCCCTCCTCTTCACCCTCTACATGCTCCCCCTTAGTGACATCATCTGCAGACATGGGGTTAACTTCCACATGTATGCGGATGACACCCAACTCTACCTTTCCTCCTCTACCCTCAACTCCACGACCACCGATGTCCTGACAGCCGCCTGTCTGACATTGAGTCCTGGACGAGAGACAACTTTCTTCAGCTTAACGTGCGCACATCCCCCGCCCCAACCGCCCTACCATTGGTGGCAGGGCTTTCAGCCCTAGGCTCTGGAACTCTATCCCCCATGTGCCTTCGCCTTGCCTCCTCCCTTTCTTCCTTGAAGGCCGGTCTCAAGACCTGGAGTCCTGTAGCTCAGTGGTTAGAGCACTCGCTTTGCAAGCGAGAGACCCGAGTTCAATTCCAGGCAGAGGGCGAAACCTTGGGCAAGTTTCCTTACTCCAATAAATTGGTCATTTTCAATCCACGACTGTTTGTGGGACATTGCTGTGCGCAATTGGCTGCCGCGTTCGCCCACAAATATACAGTCAATTCACTTTACAGTGTGTTCTGTGAAGCACTTTGGGACGTCCTCCCGACGTGAAAAGCGCTATGTCAAATGCAAGGATTATTATTAAGACCTTTCTCTTCAACCGTGCCTTCAGCTCCCCTCTCAACTCTCTACCCCTTCCTCGCCCCTTCCCTCCCCTCACGCTGACCATTTCCCCCCTCTATCATGAAATAGGCGAGGAAAAGTGGTGTTAACATTTTTTACAATGTTTTATCGTTCCCCCCCCCCCCCCCCCCGATGGTTTCCAGCAGGACCTGCCGTTTTAAAGGGATGCACTGTTTATGTAAGAGTACTTGGGGAAAATTATTTTGACTGTGAAACAGTCGGGGGCATTTAAAAAATAGAATTGAACAAGCACACGAGGAGGGAAGGATAGCATGAAATTTGGATTAGGTTATTATTAGATAAATGATAAGGCGCTATATCAAATGCAGGATTATTATTAGGATGGATGGCTTCTTGGAAGGATTAAACGCCAACATTAAGTGATGGGCCAAATGACCACCTACTGTTTCATACGTTTCTATGGTTCTGTGAAGTGCAGGGATAGATTGCACAGCCTTTTCATTTTTCAGGGTGTTCTTGTGTGATACAATAGAAATGTACATTTACATTGGGAGGACTTCTCTAAATGCTTTTGTTACATTGCAACAACAATGCAGTTCACCTCAAAATGCAGCGCTGTTATTGCGAATGTTATTGCATTGCTTGTGTGCGACAACCAGATCGAAAGATAATGTTGCCTGAAAGTTGCAAAGAACATCCAGTAACAAAATCGATTTTTCTTGCTTTCCACTACCCATAATGTGGAATCATGCAGTGGGAATATTTGACTTTGAATGTTGAAGTACTGCAGTTGTGAAAAACAAGACTGAAATCTCTTTATATTTATCAACTGACAAAATATCATTTTGTTTGAAGCAGAATTTACTTTCATGTTTAGTGACTGTGTTTAGCAGGTATAAGATGAATAACCAATTAATCTGGTGGATGTTTACCACCTATCATGTAATCAGATGTTAGTGTGGTCTCCTGCAATGTTGATGTGATTCAGAAAGGGTCTTCTTTGTATCCTGGTAAGGTAAAGGATTGAAAAAGTTAACCAAACTTCTTCATTTTTGTTCTGTCTTCTTTCGAACACTCAATCCTCATGCACCGCCTCTCCGCGTTACTCAGTCTTCGCGGACCTGCCCTTGCCTGGTTCGATTCCTATCTTTCTCCCCCCAGGGCTCTGTCCTTGGTCCTCTCCTCTTTAATATCTACATGCTCCCCCTTGATGACATCATCCGCAGACATGGGGTCAACTTCCACATGAATGCGGATGACACCCAACTCTTATCTTTCTACCTCCGTCCTCAACACCAGGACCACTGCTGTCCTGACAGACTGCCTGTCGGACATCAAGTCTTGGATGAGGGCAAATTTCCTACAGTTGAATGTGAACAAGACTGAGGCCCTCCTGATTGGCTCACCCAGCGCCTCAGCACCTCAGGCTCTGGCAGCATCAACCTCCATGGTTGCACACTACAACTCACCAAGCCAGTCAGGAACCTAGGTGTCTTGTTCGACCCTCAACTGTCTTTTCTCCCCCACATTCAAGCCATGACCCGCTCTGCCTTCCCTCACCTCCGTAACATCGCCTGACTCTGCCACTACCTCACCCCTCAGGCCGCTGAAGCTCTTGTTCATGCCTTCATCACCTCCAGGCTCGACTATGCAAACGCCCTTATTGTCGGCCTTCCCAACTCCTTCCTCCACAGGCTGCAGATAATCCAGAACTCTGCAGCCCGTGTCCTCTCCCGCACCAAACTCCGTGACCCCATCTCCCCCACTCTCGCCCGACTCCATTGGCTCCCTATCCTTCAGAGGATCCAGTCCTGGTCCTCACCTACAAAGCCCTCCATGGCGTCGCCCCACCCTACCTCTACGACCTCCTAACCCCCTACCAACCCGCCCATTCCCTCCGCTCAACCGGCTCTGGCCTGCTCCATGTCCCCCGACCCACCCGCCTTCAGCCACTCTGCCCCCAACTTCTGGAATTCCATCCCCCAGTCACTCCGTCTCGCTCCCTCCTTAGCTTCCTTCAAGTCCCACCTCATGACCCTCCTCTTCGACCATGCCATCGGCCACCCCCCGTCCCCTCCCCTCCCTCACCCCCCAACCCCAGCTCAGGTCCGAAATGCTGTACTCTGTCCAGCGCCTTGGCACGTCCTCCCGACGTGAAAGGCGCTATGCAAATGTAATCTTGTTGTTGTTGTTTCAATGATTATTTTTCTATTTCTCCTCCAGGCAGACGTTAGTTGGTCAGTGAATGGCTTACCCAAAGGGATTATTAAACAGAGCCTTGGTATGATCCCTATCATGGTTAAATCCAAACTATGTAACCTGCACGGCTTGTCTCCTCGAGGTCTCATTAAACACCACGAAGAAGCAGAGGTAATGCAAAAAGATGCCAAGTGTAACCTGACTTGTTTTTTCTTTGGGATATTCCATCCTTCCAAGTGGAAAGAGAGAAATATTCCGCATTGTAAATAAGCCCCTGCCGCAATTGAATTTCCAATAATAGGTGCAGAGAAAATAAATTATTGCCAGATCTAGACACAGAACTTTGGAATGTAGTAAACAGTGAGGAGGATGGTAGCAGACTGCAGGAGGATATAGACAGACTGGTAAAATGGGCAGACAGGTGAAGTTTAATGCAGAGAAGTGTGAGGTGATACATTTTAGGAGGAAGAATGAGGAGAGGCAATATACACTAAATGGTACCGTTTTAAATTGTACAGCAGCAGAGAGACCTGGGGTTCACATATACAGGTCTTTGAAAGTGGCAGGACAGGTCGATAGAGCTGCTTTAAAAAAAATACGGCACCCTTGTAGCTTTATAAATAGAGGCATAGAGTAAAAAAGCAAGGAAGTTCTGCTAAACCTTTATAAGTCACTGGTTAGGCATCAGCTGGAGTATTGGGCACCACACTTTAGAAAGTGTATCAAGGCCTTGGAGAGAGTGCAGAGGAGATTTACCAGAATGGTACCAGGGATGAGGGACTATAGTTTTGTGGAGAGACTAGAGAAGCTGGGATTGTTCTCATAGAGCAGAGAATTTTAAGAGGGGATTTAATAGAGATGTTCAAAATTATAGGGGATTTGATAGAGTAGACAGGGAAAAACTGTTTCCAACAGGTGGGTCGGTAACCAGGGGACATAGATTTAAAATAATTGGCAAAAGATCAATAGGGGAGATGAGAATTTTTTTACACAGAGTTGTTATGGTCTGGAATGCACTGCCTGAAGGGGTGACAGAAACAGATTGAATAACAGCTTTCAAAAGGGAATTGGATAGGTACTTGAAAAGGAAAACATTGCAAGGTTATGGGGAAAGAGTGTGGTTGATTGTGTAGCTCTTCCAAAGAGCTGGCACAGGCACGATGGGTTGATTGGTCGTCTCCTGTGCTGTAATGTTCTATGATTCTATAATCTGTGTACTTTCTATCCATGCGGACACTTGCCAGAAACGGCAGTGGAACAAAGTGTTTTATCTCTGGGATCTGGTTTGAATAAAGTCTACGGCTTGAAATTTGGGCAGTCACCATCAAGTTACTAATGGGCTTAGGTTTACAGTGTAAATTTTCTTTAATTTGACATTAAATTTAAATCTCATTTGTGCCTACAGGATGATTAGTGGGGAAACAGAAGATGTCACACTGGTGGAGGAGGACATGCTGAGGCTTATAGTTGGGGGAGGGGACAAAGGAATTTTGACCAACCAGGTGTTGAAACTGGTTGGTCAAAATTGGAAAAAGAGTTTCAAACTCTCATTAAGGTTTAACTTAATGGGCATTAAGTACATTTAAAAAAAAAAAAAATTCATTTACCGGCTCTCAGAATGAGTTGAGGGTGATCCGTGTGCAGTGCAGCCCTGTACAGTACATTTGAGAAAAGTCAAGTTTAAGAGAGAAGTAGATAATCATTTGGGGAGGATTAAGTTTGCAGGGTTATGGGGAGAGAGTGGGATTGATTTGGATAGCTCTTTTAAAAGAGCCGGCACAGACACGATGGACCGAATGGCCTCCTTCTGTACTGTATAATTCTATGATTCTATGAAATAAGGAGAATATCACAGATAGGACTTACCAATAGATATGCGTCTCCTTTCAGGTCAACATTGAGGTCAACTGCACACAGTATTGAATTAACTCCGCCTATTATCCTTTATTCAATAGGAAATGGGGGGATACTTCATAATAAATGGCATAGAAAAGATCATCAGAATGCTCATCATGCCAAGACGCAATTTCCCAATTGCTATGGTGAGGCCCAAGTGGAAGAATAGAGGCCCTGGCTACACCCAGTACGGTAATTACACTTTATAGTTTTTAACTCTGAGCTTGGGCTGTTCTGTATTTTAATTATATTTGGTATTTCCGATCAAGGGTTTTTATAGAATCTTTATTATATGGGAGAGGGTCCTGTGGCTTAATGTCCAACAACACCTAGAGTGTTCACTTAACAGACTGCAGAAAGCAGCATGCGCACATGAGGGAGAAGAGAATGAGCGGGGACTTGTGGAGTATAAACATTGACATGGACCAGTTGGCGTAGTGGCCTGTGCTGTGATGTTCTATGTATGAATATTATGGTGGAATGTTTCTCAAATGTCTCTCTGCTCGAGCTCCAAAATTGTGCTGCTCATAAACAACTACAACAAATTACATTTATCTGGTACATGTTTTGCTTTGTCCTGTGTATCCGTGGTGTTTGTTGAAAATTACTGTTTCAATTGGAAAACAGTGGCCGAACTCTATGAGAGATATTCTAGGTGGCAATGCTCTTGGTATTTCATGTTGAGCTGTAGCTGAATTGTTAGCAGAATGGAGTTGTGTTTTACTTTGCATCACTATAATATGTGCATTTTTGTCTCTGCACCAAATGCATCCAATTCTGTACAACCCATCATTACCAGATAGTTGCTGAGTTACTGTGTGAGGATTGATTTGAAAATAAGGATGCATCTATTATTCCTCGTTCATATTGATTTATTTTTTTTCCTCTTGTTAATCTCCTCTCATGTGATTTTTTTATTGTTACTGGGTTACAATTCCACTGTTGCCTTTATTCTCGGTGTCTGCATGAGCTGGTTTTACTGCACAAACTGCTATCTAGGTGAATGTGGGTGCGGATTCCTGACTGTCCAGCGCTTTGGGATGTTGTCCTGACGTGAAAGGTGCTATAGTTGTTGTCGTTGATGTTAAAATTCCCATATCATTATTCGAAAAAGAAGGGAATTTCTTCTGCTATCCAATCTGCTAACAGTCCTCCAGAAAAATCGGTCACTCACTTGATGGCTGTTTGTGGGACATTGCGGTGCACAAAATGACTGCTGCATTTACCTGCAAAATACATAGTCACCACATGTGATGGTAATTACTGTAAAGCACTTTGAGACATTGTGCCACTGTAGGCACTATAATAAAAATAAATTTTGTTAATTTATTCGAGATCTTAATTTATAAAAAAAATTGTTCACAAGTGTGTGTTTTCCTTTGTCAGGTGTCAGCATGCGCTGTGTGAGAGATGAACACACTGCCATTAACATGAACCTTCACTATCTGGACAATGGCAGTGTAATGGTCAACTTCATCTACCAGAAAGAACTCTTCTTCCTCCCTCTATGCTTTGCACTCAAGGTAAGGTGGAATATTTAAAAGGACAAAATAATAAAAATAATAATAATCCTTGCATTTGATATGTGCTTTTCACGTCTTTGAGACGACTCTAAGCGCTTCACAGAATGTACTGCAAAGTGAATTGACTGTGTATTTGTGGGCGAAACGCAGCAGCCAATTGCGCACAGCAGTGTCCCACAAACAGTCCTGGATTGAAGTGACCAATTTATTATTGTTTTTTTCTTGAGGGATTATTATTAGGCATGTAGGGAAAGGAAACTTACCCAAGGTTTTGCCCTGCCGGGAATCAAACCCAGGTCTCTCGCTTGCGAGGTGAGTGCTCTAGCCACTGAGCTACAGGACTCCAAAATCAGACCAGTTCCCCGCCCTTCCTGAGGAACATTTATTATACGAAAATCTTGGAGAACTGTGTAATTGAAATCTTATATTTTAAGGTGTAGTTGTGTGTTGCGTAATAAAATAAGACTTTCATACATTCAAAGAGAGGATCACCGTTGCCGCATCTTTTACCGTTTGGTTACAAAGTTGCATTGCATAGTTTTGGCCGCTGTACTGTCCATAGGTGTTGTGTTACACAGAGCCCATCGGAAAGGTGAGGGGAATATAAAAATCCCTACAAGTAAAGTTCCTATATTTTGAATGCTTGCATAGTGTTGTTTAATGGTGAAAGGCTACTTATGTACAACTTAATTGAATGAATATTCAAATAAAGATTGTTTTTCACCTTAGGTAAAGATCTGTTTTTAAAATTGCCTGTTTTGTTGCAGGGGTTGGTTGATTTCACGGATTACCAGATTTACCAGGAGTTAATTAAAGGAAGAGAGGACAACTCCTTCTTCAAGAGCGCTGTGACGCAGATGTTGAGACTGGTAGTGATGGAGGGTTGCAACACCAAGAAGCAAGCATTAAATTACCTGGGAGAGAGGTTCAGTGTGAAGCTCCGCCTGCCAGACTGGTACACAAATGAGCAAGCTGCAGAGTTCCTGTTTGAGTAAGGATTAATTTTTAAATTCTTAAACCACTATGATGGGAGGTGGGCAAAATAAGCTTCAGTGGGTGCACAGGCTCACGAGGCAGGGTGGGGGGGCAAACTCAGTGCTTAGAGACTTCTAATATTTTGGACCTTTTTACAGTTGGTAATTTTTAAAGAGTGACACTGCCTACGAAGTGCGTTGAAATGTGACATGGTAAAGTGCTGTATCAAATGCAAAGATTATTCTTAAATGAACTGAAAATGGTCAATAATAGTTGATACAAAATTTGCTTCTTTTTGAGATTTATCCACCAGTTGGATTGGAATTGAATCCAGATCGCTGAAATGAAGAGACATTATGCTGAGCCACTGCATCATCCAATCTCGAGATCCTAACGAAAAAAAGAATGATCAGCACAATGTTGGTGCAAAAAGCGGCCTCCTTATCCAGTTCAGTGTCACTGAAAACACAATCATCTACAGCTGCTATTTATTATATAGACATACATCAGTTTAGCTCAATGCGTTCATCAATACAGGAGGCCTATTGACAGTATGCAAATAGTACATGCAACCTCTTTCTGTCCACCTGCAGCCAGTGCTTGTGCATACACCTGAAGGCCAACGTGGAGAAATTTTATTTGCTTTGTCTGATGACGCGGAAGCTGTTTACGTTCGCCAAGGATGAATGTCAGGAAGAAAATCCCGACAGCTTGATAAATCATGAAGTGCTGACGCCTGGGCAGCTCATTTTAATGTTTTTAAAGGTTAGTCTCTGGCAGCTTTCCCTCATTCCACAATCTGCTATTAGTTCATACTACTGTAACAGGAATTATATTATCTTTAATTCATTTGGATTCCTGTAGCTCAGTGGTTAGAGCACTCGCCTCGCAAGCGAGAGACCTGGGTTCTATTCCCAGCAAGGTGAAATGTTGGGCAACTTTCCTTACTCCACACACCTGTTTACCTAGCAGTAAGTAGGAACCCGGTTGTTAGTCGATTGGCAGATCGCTTTTCTGGGGATAATCTTCAAAAAAACAGTAATAATTTGGTCACTCAATCCATGATTGTTTGTAGGACACTGCTGCGCGCAATTGGTAACCGTGTTTCATCCACAAATATACAGGCAATTAACTTTACAGTATAATCTGTAAAGCGCTTTGAGATGTCAAGAAGATGTGAGAAGTGCTATACCAAATGCAAGGTATTATTTGTGAAAAATACTGTGTGATCTTTAAAGTTAATTTTTTTGAGGTAGAAGATGTAAATAACTGCGTCTAATATTTTAAGTTGGCAATAATTCAACATTTTTGGTGTAAAAGTAGTTATACTATATATAATATGTATACTATATATATCTACTCTTTTTTAAAAAAGAGACCCGAACACATTAACAAGAATTAATTCACTACTATTAGATGAATATTATTACATACTACTTGTTTCCATATTGCTTGAGTCTTTTTGTTTGAAGTCGCATTTGTTTTGGTAATAAGCACTGCGGACTCTTTGTTTGGTCCATAATAGATGACTGCAACTAAGTGATAGATGGTAGGGAACGGATTTAGGGATATTGCTTGTTTTTAAATTTATTTTATTCTCATGCATGAAAAATCAGGAATCAGCAAGCGGTTGAAATTCAGAAAGAAACCTATATTTAGAGGTTTGACATTTCGTTTAGGTCATGCTTATTAATTCCTAGACCATATCTTCCATTAACTTATTACTAGGATTTAAAATTAAAACTCTTATTAGTACCAGTCTTCTGTGGGGAGAGGCTGTGCTTGTGTTTCTGGGTGTGATCAGGAAAGTGAGGTAAGACTAGGGCTCATGGAGAGAAAAACAGCACAGACGTTAAAGGCCGAACAGCCTGTTTCAATGCTGTAAACTTTTCTGTTTCAAGTCTATTTGTCAGGGAGATGAGGGTGTTTTTGGCCTCCGAGCCTTGGGACGTCCTCCCGATGTGAAAAGCGCTTTACAAATGTAATTTTTTGGTTGTTGTTTGCAAAAGACTTTAACTGCAAAATTGTATTTGGTTCACTGCAAAGGAATTACCATTGCATTGCTCTTGTACAACACATCTTGTACAGGGTAACCTTGCTGTTGCTCCATGACGAAAGTCTTTGAAATCGGTTCTCATTTCTTGCTTTGTCACTGATACTGTTATTACTGGAATGCCTGGTGATGGGCGGGGGAGAGGAATTAGTTACCCTCTTGGGAGGGGTGGAGAAGGTTAAAGGATTCATTGATCATTCCCCACATCATAGCACTTGCTTCATGAATAAGTTATTTTTTTAATTAGGGAGGAGCATTGGGGAAGTGAAGTTGCACCTGTGTCTCTCTCCACACCCCCACTGTACTAAGGTTATTAATCCTGGCTATGCTCTCCTGCATCCCCTGGTGGCTGGTTTCCAAATTGTCAGAGGTGTAAGGAAAGAGTCATTTTTCTTGCCCGGCGATGGATGAAAATACTGGTACTGTTTCTTTTAAAATGTCCTCAAAACAAAATAATCATTACGCTCAGTTCACCTGCTAAAAATTCTTACATGGAAATAGCAACAAATCTTTTTCATGCAGGCAGAAGAAAAGATTCTAGGTGTAGTTCCAACATTTATATTCTTAAACCCTGTTGTTCTTTTAAAAAGTAACTTTTCCCTGATTTTATTTGACAGGAGAAAATGACTTGGTGGTTACAATCTATAAAATTTGCAATGGACAAGAAGAATCAAAAAGGAGCCTTTCCTATGAATTCAGAAAACTTGATGAAAGCCTTAAGTATGGTGGGAGATCTAACCCGGCCATTTGAGTATCTTTTGGCTACTGGAAACTTGCACTCAAAAACAGGTAAATAATGCAACATGCATTTGTGTGAGTCTTTTATGGAAAGTAAATGTCTCAAAGCCCTGTACAGAATGAAGTACCATTTCCTGGTGCAGTGGTAACACTCTTACCTCTGAGTCAGAAGCTTATGTTTGAAGTCCCAAGTCGGGACTTGCAATCACATTGTCTAAGCTGACACTCCATTGCAATGTTGGGGTGGGGGGAGTTGTATCGTCAGAGGTGAGATGTTAAACCAAAGCCCCGTCTGCCTTGTCAGATGGATGTTAAACATCCCATGGTGTTATTCGAAAAGACAAAGGAGTTTCCCTGGTGTCCTGGCCAAGAATTCCTCAATAAAGTTGGTCACTCGTTTCATATCTGTTTGTGGGACATTGTTGTGCACAGTTTCTCCACTTCACAATAATTCTTGTGAAGTACTTTGAGACATCCTTCCAACATGAAGACTATTTAACAGGATAAGGATCCCTCAGAGCAGCTGACCAAATAAAGAGCAGAAATAAAAGTGAAAATAAAGTGATTTTGGTAATTGTGACCTGGAAGTTAGGCTTCTTCCCTCTCTCTTGGCTCTTGCATTCATGTCATATTTATCCCTTGACTAAAAATAAACATAACCCTTTCTGTAGATTTGGAATCCTGTTGGTATTTTGCTGCTTGAACCAATACTTGTTTACTCGTGGGCTGGCGCAGCCAGAGGGCTATTTTATGAAAGCTAACTAGTTGCATTGTGTTCATATTGTAAATGGACTAATCAGTTTGAGTTGCTTATGTGGAGTCCTGTAGCTCAGTGGTTAGAGCACTCGCTTTGCAAGCGAGAGACCTGAGTTCAATTCCAGGCAGGGCGAAACCTTGGGCAAGTTTCCTTACTCCACGCGCCTAATAATAATCCCTCCAAAAACAATAATAAATTGGTTATTTTCAATCTACGACTGTTTGTGGGACATTGCTGTGCGCAATTGGCTGCCGCGTTCGCCCACAAATATACAGTCAATTCACTTTACAGTGTGTTCTGTGAAGCGCTTTGGGACGTCCTCCCGACGTGAAAAGCGCTATATCAAATGCAAGGATTATTATTATGATAATAATAATCCTTGCATTAATGTTTTTCACATCGGGAGGACATCTGAAAGTGCCTCCCAGAATTTACTGTGAAGTGCATTTGGCTGTGTATTTTGTAGTTGAATGTACAACAACAAAATTATTTGTATAGCGCCTTTCACGTCGGGAAGACATCCCAAGGTGCTGGATTCAGACAGTTTGCACATGACAGTGTCCCACAAACAGCCATGAACTGAACAGCTATATTTATAAACATAGGGATTTTCTTTTAAGGTCACAATTCAGCATGGCTAGTCTACTCTCAAATGTACAACTGAATTGGGCGGCACCCTTCTTGGATAAGCAAAGAAATTCACATGCCAATATTTCTTGATTTGTCCACAAAAAGCAGTCACTGTACTTGACAATAGTTACTGTGAAGCTGTAAGACATTTTGACATGCAAAGATCTCTGAAAATGCAAGTTTAATTCTAATATTGTACACTGCCTGTTATTTTCCTCCCAGGTCTGGGTATGTTGCAGGATTCTGGTTTGTGTGTTGTGGCAGACAAGCTGAATTTCGTCCGTTACCTCTCTCATTTCCGATGCGTGCATAGAGGGGCTGCTTTTGCTAAGATGAGAACCACCTCTGTGCGTAAGTTACTCCCCGAGTCCTGGGGCTTCCTGTGCCCTGTGCACACTCCAGATGGAGAGCCTTGTGGGCTGATGAACCATTTGACTGCCATTTGCGAGATTGTGACCCAGTCATGGAGCACCGTCTCTCTGCCAGCTCTGCTTTGTGCCCTGGGTGAGTTGGTTCGGCTGTTCGTACTAAATGATCAGTGATTTGGGTTTTGCTTATTGTCATTTTAAGAAGGTGTTTGGTGGTGTTATTTATTCTGCTGTCCTCCTGGGGAAACCCCTCCTGCTTCATGAAAGGTGGGGAAATGGGAACAAAAGATCTCCTGTGATTTTTTTTTAAAAAAAAAGTGAGCAGTTTGGACTGGCTGAACGGCCAAACTCTGTGTGTTGAGTCACCCACTGAGGACATAAAGTACAACTCCCAGCTTAAATAATGGTTTCTGGTATGTCTTCTGCAGGTGTTACACCAGTGGATGGCACGCCCAACAGTCCGTATTCTGAGTGCTACTCAGTTCTTCTGGACGGCTCCGTTGTTGGGTGGGTGGAGAGAGAGATGGGACCACACGTCGCGGATACTCTGCGCACCTTCAAGGTACATGTTTGTTGTCCTTCAGCCATTTATGTTTCCCTGGCTCAGTGGTAGCTCTTTTGCCTCTCAGCCAAAAGGTTGTGGGTTCAGAGACAGGCCCTCTGCAATGATGCCCTCTGCAGTTGAGTAGCCTGCAAACACTCACTGCTGAGGCTCACACATGAACAATGGCCACTCAAATGGGGGCTTGGAGGGTAATCAGAGCCCATGCAACTGCATCCCAGCAAGAGGAGGCCAGACCACGAGTAGAGAGGCTTATGCCAATGTGGAGAAAATTTTAAAAACACTTCATTTTTTTTAAAAAAGGAAACCAAAATCAATTATACTTTAGCCATCAATATATTCATGTGCCCTTTGGAATTTTGACCCCAAATTAATCACGGCATAAACCCACTATAACACCACACTGAATTTTGAGAGACTACCGGTATCTACAAATTTCCTTTGATAATTTGCTCCCATTCAACATCCTCATAAGTCTTCCCAAAAGATTGGTTCAGATGAAGATGGCCCTTCAGCAAAGTTGGTCTGCTCCTTCCTGGATGTCCACCTACTGTCCTCCCAGTGCAGCATCAAGCTGTTTTTAAAATGAATCACGTGACCTGACTGTCAAGGTTGCAATTCAAGGAGCCAACTTGTTTTAGTCATTAATTATCTCTGGGTAAAAAAAATGCTTCCTGGCAAATCCAAGCCTATGTGATTTACCTGTATAGTATAGGAAGTTTCGATCTACACATGTGCAGTGCCTCTCAAAGTGCATTGCAGGAATGTTTGCTCTGCTGAGTTGAAGTTCATTTATAACAACAACAAGATTACATTTGTATAGCGCCTTTCACGTCGGGAGGACGTCCCAAGGCGCTGGACAGTGTACAGCATTTCATTTATAAATAAAGTAAAATGCTGGAGGATATAAACTGAATGAATGGTTAAGAGATTTTCATCTAATCTCAGTTTTGGGTGTTCGACCAGTTTCCATTGTTGACTCTGAATTGCTTTGTGATAGGTTTTAAAAGAGAAGAAAGTCCCTCTATGGATTGAAATTGTTCTGATTCCAATGACGGGTAAACCCAGTATTTACCCAGGATTGTATCTCTTCACCACTCCTTGTCGGATGATACGACCTGTCAGAAACTTGGCCTTGGGAAAGGAAGAGCTCATTGGCACCCTTGAACAGGTAATGAAAACCATCCTGGCATGTATTGTTTGTAAGCTTTAGAAAGGGTTGTTTGTTATTCATAGTGTTTTAATAATGAGAAAAATAAAACTTCATCTTTATGAACCGGGATGTTATGGGTGGTTTGTGTGTGTAGTGTATTTTTCAATATTTGGCATCTCCTTGAACTTTCAATGGTATATAGGAGAGCTTTGTTGAGAGCGAAAATCAACTGTAAAATTCAAGATATCTTAAACATTCAAAATCAGGTTTGGGGCAAGTGATGTAGTTGGTTCCAACACCCCATCTCTGGGTACTGAGATATTACTCTGGGTACTGACTCACTCCTAGTTTCTCTCTCTCTCTCTCTCTCTCTCTCTCTCTCTCTTTCTCTCGGTGTAACCCAAATTACTGTTTTTGTTCAGCAGAGTAAGTGCTTGACCTTTCTGGCCTGTGATCAGGGGGCAGCAGCAGCCCCACTTAATCTCAGTCTGCATGTCTTTTTAAGAAAAATGGCACAGAATATGTGTAAACTTCTTAAATTCCAGTCTTAATTATGGAGTCCTGTAGCTCAGTGGTTAGAGCACTCGCTTTTGCAAGCGAGAGACCTTGTTTGATTCCCGGCAGGACAAAATGTTGGGCAAGTTTCCTTACTCCACACGTACTCCTCTGTTTACCTAGCAGTAAATAAGAACCTGGGTGTTAGTCGATTGGTGGATCGCTTTTCTGGGGGGTAATAATTCCTCCAAAATAAATAATAATAATAAATTGGTCACTTCAATCCACGACTGTTTGTGGGACACTGCTGTACACAATTGGCTGCCGCGTTTCGCGCACAAATATACAGTCAATTCTCTTTACAGTCTGTTCTGTAAAGCGCTTTAAGAAGTCTTGAAGATGTGATAAGCGCTATATCAAATGCAAGGATTATTGTTGTTTCTTTAAAAGGAGTACCCATGATCTTTCTCAGGGTAAATCACCTAACATTCCCTTTTAATGTTATATTGCAGCAATTATTACAGTAACCTCAGAGTAAATATTATGGTCTTCATAATATTTTTGTGATGTGTTTCCAGCTGTACATGAATATTGCCATCACAGAACAGGATATTGTGCCTGGAGGAACCACTCATCAGGAGCTATTTCCTCACAGTATGCTGAGCGTAGTGGCGAACTTAATTCCTTACTCTGATCATAACCAGAGTCCTAGGAACATGTACCAGTGTCAGATGGGTAAGTGAAATAAATTCACAGCAGTTATATAAGATGATCACACCAAACAGTCGGGGATTACCTTCCTCGCACTTCTATCTGTAGAGCTCTTTAGATTCCAGAGTTTGAAGGGTTAAATGTGACTCTTTGGGGGTTGGAAGAGGCTTTGCCACAGCTTATATTCACCTTGATTGTTGAGAATAAAATTAGTGGTGAATCATATGCGTAATGGTGTCACAGGATGCAAAGATGAGCTGGCTTAAGCGATGATTTAAATGTTTGAGGTAACAGGTGCTGCAATTTCACTAACCCTTTAAAGCGAGTAAGTCCTGATTAACATACAACACAATACAAATTTATACTTATATTGTAATTTTCATGTCAGGAGGCTGGCCCAAAGCACTTCACAGTACTAGCTGGGTACCTGAGCTGGAGGTGAGAGGCGAGGGGGTTGGGGTGGGGAAAAATGACTGAAACATGGTCAAAGTAGGTCTTCAGACAGACTTTGAATGAGGTAAGGGAGGAAGCGAGTCAAATGGTCTACAGGAAGGAGTTCCAGAGAGTGGGGCTAGAAAGGCTGAAAGCCAACGGTGGAGTGGCTGGGCAGGGGACATGAAGCAAGTCAGTGCTCGCTGATCGAAGGAGCATAATATAGTGATATGCATTCTTTTCCTTGGTTTGCTTTTTGTTGAGAAGGTTTAGCTGATGATAAAATGACATATTGCAGTGTTTCCTAATCTCTGTTTTTGTTTAATGGAGTGGGAGGGGAGAAAAGTGCTTGGCAGAAATCTGCTGTTTCCCCACGGCGAGCGAAATGAGACCCTTTCCTTCGGCTACTTTTGTGCATCCCTTTGTGACTGGTTTCAGAGCAACATTGGCATTGGAAGGGGGAACAGTTTAGAAGCGAGAAAAAAACGGGATCAAATCAGGCTCGTTTTTTAAAAAAAAGACAAACGACAATTTATTTTAAAGAGTAAAAATTTTATTTTGACATGTGTATTGTACTTATAAATGTTGCAGTAATGAGGCTACTGCTGAGGTTTGACTAGATTTATTGTTGCTGCAGTGTCTAGTATTTGCTTCAGTATTGTTGCTTGTGAACTGCAATTTTAAAAAAAAGTATGGTTTGCTGAGATGGTCACCAGGTCATGTCTTGATTCTCCTTTGTTCCGCCCCACCATCAAAGGTTGGGCCTTCAGGCTCTCTGCCCCACCATTTCAAACTCCATCCCACAGTCCCTTTGCCTCGCTCCCTCCCTTGCCTCCTTCAAGATCTGTCTCAAGACGTTCCTTTTTGACTGAACCTTTGGTCACCTACCCCTGCCCTCCTGATCCCAACCCCCTGCTCGGGTCCAAATCCATGACCGTCCAGTGCCTTGGGACATCCTCCTGACATGAAAGGCGCTATACAAATGTAATTTGTTGTAGTATTGTGATCTTTATTTTCTATGTGCTTGGTGAATATTGTAGTCCAGCTGTTTATTTTAATTGCTCTCTTTTCCAGGAAAGCAAACAATGGGATTCCCATTGCACAGCTACCTGTATAGATCCGACAACAAACTCTACCGTCTTCTCACTCCCCAGAGCCCTCTTGTCCGACCTTACATGTATGACTACTTTAACATGGATAACTATCCCATAGGCACTAATGCTGTTGTAGCTGTCATCTCGTACACAGGATATGACATGGAAGATGCTATGGTACGTACCCGTTTACCAAACCCCATCTTGCCCTCATTGTTCATCCATACTTTCCAACAGTAGAAAGAGAAAGAACTTGCATTATTTGTAACGCCTTCTCTTGTCTAAACGGATCAAATGCTTCACAAATAATTACTGTCACGTATACATACACTGGATAGTTTAGGTAATCACGGCATCCTTTTTTGCTATAGCAAGCTCCCAAAAAACACTCATGAGGTTAATGAACAATTAATCTGGAGGATCGTTGACTGATTCTCTTTTCGAATAGTGTCTTGGGAATTTTTTTTAAAAAGAAAACTTATTTTACTCTTGACCAGTGATCAAGAGAGGGAACCCTTTTTTTCCCCCTGCGCCAGACAATAAGGGTAATAGGAGCACCCCTGCACCAGCCCTACACCGGCCCTGGCTAAAGTCAGCTAACAAAGCAAATATTAGCCATGAATTATGTCTTTCCTGGTCCGTAAAGCTTGATACCAGGCCATAGAGTGCATTTACAGAGTCAATGCACTGGAGGGCTGTATCGCACATTGTTAATTAAACATTGTAGTGGAAGAGTTTGGATAACTTGGGAAACATAATTTCTCCAGGTTTTACTGTATTCTCAGGAATCAACACAAGATCCAAAATGTCCCTGTTATCAGCATGTGACCCAAATTTTGTCACCCAGTTTACAAATAAACAGTTGAACAGTCTCTCTTTGACATAAGATGTATGAAACCAGGCTATAATTTTTTTCAGGCAAGTTTATATCTGAAACTGGAACATGTTAATACAGTCATTTTTCTAGTGTTCCTCACCCGCTGATGGTGAGCTGTGAGTTTTCAGCCACTCTGTCTCTGCTCTCTGGAACTCCATCCCTGAATCCCTCTGACTTCCTCCCCTTGTTCAAAGCATGTCTCAAGACCTACCTCTTTGACTGTGCTTTCGGTCATCTCTCCCCTCCCCACCCCCAAGGGCTCCCGTTAATTAAAAGAATACTATTGTATTCCTTATATTTACTTATTCATTGCAGTGAAAGTAGAGCCAAGGGGCTAGTTTCAGCCCTGTGAGACACTACCAAGTGTAAAGGGCGCTATATCAATGCAAATTGTTGTTCATTTGTATACTGAGCTTGTTAAGAATCAGTGCTGCACATCAAAAGGCTAACTACTATTTTTATTAAATATAAAAGATCGTCAACAAAGCATCTTGGGAGAGAGGATTTGCCTATGGAAGCGTTTATAAGACTGAATTGATCAATCTCGATCAAAAAGTGACAGCTGGAGACTCTAATTTGGTCTTCGGTGTCAAACCCGGCGACACACGAGTGGGACAGAAACTCGACGAGGACGGATTGCCAGCGATAGGAGCCGTGCTGGAGTACGGTGATCCCTTCTATAGTTACTTGAATCTCAACACAGGGGATAGCTTTGTGATGTACTACAAGTGAGTAGAGACAATGTCATGTCTACCGCAGACGTCACTTCCTTGGACGATTTCTCATGTACTTCTGTTTAAATATAATAATGGTATAAAGCATTGAGAGCAATATTGGTGGAACATATTGCAACATCTAGCAGAATTGTGAACCCCTGTTCTACCATTTTTGAGGGATTTGCGCAGTGAGAGTGTTTACATCTTGTAAGCCAGCCTCTGATTTCATATGGTTTTTTTTGGGGAAAATCAGCAGCAAGTTCTCAATATCAAAACATGAGCAATAAAATATAGAAGAACATTTACAATATTGTTTATGTTGAAAATTTGGTTGCCTAAAAATACTTTCCATGCACACCCATTTAAAAGTATTGAGAGCGTAAAGAAAATCTAGTCGTCATTTATTTTGCAAAGTATAAGATCTGCAATAAAACTTTCTTCTGGTTTCTAGGTTTACTTTGACTTTGGGTCATTGCTCTTTCCAATGGTTGTTTTAACACAAGTTCCAAACAAAACGTTCTGTTGTAGTTGAACCAAAATTTGCTTCCAATGACTCCCATGTAGTGTAAGCTGTATTAAAGCTGGATGTGCTCTTTCATACTTTAATAAAGCTGCTGCTCACAGGTATTATTCAGGTAATTAGGAGAATTCAGAAAAGGTATTTTTATGGCTTAGACGGTGACTATCACACAGTGACCTTCTGCGTGTGTGATCCTGATTGCTCCCCAGTTTTTCAGCGATTCCTTCAATAAATGGGTGAAGGTTCCAGGTTTGGCCCCTGTTCTGTATTAGATGATCTCATCTGGGCAGACGTGGTATCGCCAGCGGCTCCCTGTGCACGGAAAGTGATTTCTTGATTGCTATATGTAGGGTGTGTGTTTGTGTGCGGAACCAACATAGGGCACCAGCGAAAGGGGAAAGTCCAATGCCTTCAGGAAGAGGAGGAAAATGGGTGAAAAAAATGGTGCGCCTGAGGCTGTGGTGTCCTTTAAATCTTGTGAATACATTAAGTGATAAATACATTTTTATTTTCCTTCAGGAGCAAAGAAAGTTGTGTTGTGGATAACATCAAAGTTTGCAGCAATGATAATGGGACAGCAACTTTTAAACGTGTGTGCATCACCTTGAGAATCCCCCGTAACCCCACCATTGGAGACAAGTTTGCTAGTCGCCACGGGCAAAAGGGCATCTTGAGCCGACTGTGGCCAGCAGAGGACATGCCGTTCACAGAGAGTGGTATGATGCCAGATATCCTGTTTAATCCCCACGGATTCCCTTCCCGTATGACCATAGGAATGCTGATAGAAAGCATGGCAGGTAAATCTGCTGCCATGCATGGCCTGTGTCACGATGCCACACCATTCACGTTCTCTGAGGAAAATTCAGCCTTGGAGTACTTTGGGAAGATGCTGCAGGCTTCCGGCTATAACTTCTATGGGACTGAAAGAATGTACAGTGGGATCAGTGGTGTGGAGCTGGAGGCAGACATCTTCATTGGAGTGGTTTACTACCAGCGCCTACGTCACATGGTCTCTGACAAGTTCCAGGTTAGAACTACTGGAGCGAGAGATAGGCTGACAAACCAGCCCGTTGGAGGGAGAAACGTCCAAGGTGGCATCCGATTTGGAGAGATGGAGCGCGATGCTCTACTAGCTCATGGAACGTCCTTCTTACTTCAAGACCGCCTCTTCAATTGCTCGGATCGCTCCGTAGCACACGTCTGTATTAAGTGTGGCAGCCTCCTGTCGCCAATACTGGAAAAGCCCCCACCATCGTGGTCTGCCACACGTCACAGGAAACATCACTGCACTCTCTGTAAACAGTCTGACACTGTTGAGATTATTTCTGTGCCTTATGTTTTCCGATATTTTGTGGCGGAACTTGCAGCGATGAACATTAAAATTCGACTGGATGTGAGCTAACCTACCAGGCTGGAAAGTCAGATCATTTCTAATATTTTTGAATATGAATTTCACAGCTTATTTTTTCTTGGGTGGGGGGAGAAATGAAGCATTTTAATAATGAAAGAGTGAAATCCAGACTAATGCTTGACAGATAGTGCAGTGTGTTTTGCGGTATTGATTGTATCCATAGCTAGATGTGGACTCTTGGGGGCAGCACATACATTATTAGTATATCATGAGCCTTTGGCCAATGTGCATACAATTGCTTTTATACCAATCACATGATAAACCAAGGCTTTTTAATTGTGATAATTTAATTTTCTGTGCGACTATTTTGTTTAAATTTCAGTTTGAAAACCACTGCTTGCATTCCCTATTTTTATTTATAGACTTTGTACTGGAGAATATGCAGTATTTTACATGGTTGAAATAAATCACACTGTATAATTCACAGTCTAGCCCACCGTTCCTGTGACTACCATTTGAAAGGGCTGAGGTGTGCTTGTGTTGGAACAGCCCAATAGTTAATCACATTTTTTTAATTTTAAAAACATACTCTACTTACCAAGTTCCACTTGAGTGAAAGTAACGCATTTTTAGGAACCATTGTTGGCTTGAAAAAGGTTTTCAGGATGCTGTGGCACTCTGACTTCTTATTTTGTTAAACATCTGTTTTTAAAAAATGCTGAGAGCCTTGACCATTTGATGTCACTTAACCGCTATTCCTGAGACATGGAAATAATAGCGTTGGGAATCTCAGGCAGAAACTGGCATTTGTAGTGCAGTGTCTACAATAATAGCCTGGTGCCCCCACTAGCCTGCCACTTAGCATAGCTTTGGGAAAATACTGCACTAAGGTCTCAGGAGTGCTTAGAATCATAGAATTATACAACACAGAAGGAGGCCATTTGGCCCATCGTGTCTGTGCCGGCTCTTTGAAAAGCCCTATCCAAACCAATCCCACTCCCCCACTCTCTCCAAGAGAGTTTGTAGTTGTAGTGAGAATATAAATTCCTGTTGACTGAATCTTTGGAATATCACAAGAAACCTTTGCTACACACACACACACACACACATATATATATATATATATAATCATTCACTGTGCAGAATTTAAGTGGTTTGAGTTTACTTTTTGTCTGCCTCTGAGTTGTGTCTGATTGAGAGAAAAAATAACATTCAAATTATATATTTTTTAAAAAAACTTTTCTTTTTTACTTTGCCCCCTCTCCCCACTTTCAAATCCAGCCTAAAGAAAACCTTCCTTTTTGATCGTGCTTAAGGTCACCTCCTCCCTCCCTCTCCCCCTGGCTCAGTGTCAGACTCCACCATTGTCAAGCACTCTGGGACGCTACCCCTTGTGAAAGGCGCTATATAAATACAAGTTGTGGATTACAGAAGATTGCAGTAAAAGTTTATGAATTTTAATTTCAAATAGTTTGCAATGAATGATAACCATCTTTGCTTAGAGTACCCTTGTCAGACACCTGTGGGAACCATGCTTAAGAGTATTCAAACCAGACTGAGAGTTCGACATATGTATTGTCAAACTCCATTTTCAACCTAACACATTTTTGTCGAAATGTTTTCTTAACATGACCTTAATGTTGCCCTGCTAAAGTCAGCAGGTGGAAGAGCAGATGAACACGGGCTTCCCATGAGATCTTTAACTACGTATTTCAAAATAGCAACACAGTAAGGTTACGTCAGATGTTCTGCACTATCCAATTTTAATCAGCTTGTATATTGTACACCAAGGTGGTCATCAGTGCATTCCAGTTTCTAGGCGTTGCTCTACTAGCTCACTGCAGATTGTTGTTGTTCTGCACTGACCAAAAGCTTTATGGCGTCAATTTATCTTCATTGTCTGATTTTATGCATTGATTGAATCGACAGCTACGTGCATTTCTATTTCTAAGTACATTCTTGCCTTTCAGTCAACCCTAGGTTATTTGAGATGCACGTAACTGTAGAACATCCATTGTAATGAATGAATATGCAACTCGGATACAGAGGATAATTTGATAATAAGTATGCAGGAAACATCAAAGTCATTTGGGCATCTTTGTCAAGTTCTAGGGTTTTTTCACAGTAGGATTATGTGCAAATGTGTGCATAAACAACTGGGATTAGTTCATTTCTAGTGCACCAGTGAGCTTTCAATGAGGTTATGTTTGACTGTAGCACAAGTAAGCGACATTTCAACCTGACTGGCCATAAGCATCATTTTCTGGGAACTTCTGGGAACAGTGATCAAGAATTTCAGTGTTTATAGATCCTTCAGAACAATTTGTACCTGCTGTCAAATATCAATGTTGATTGACAGAGTTTGACTTGTAATAAATGTTTCTGTTTTTGCTCTACCGAAATCCAGCTTTTGCATAACTTGCTCGGCATCTTAACAATGGTTTTGAAGAATACCAAAGATTTAGGGGTACTGTAGTACTGTACTATTAAATCATTACAGTACCAAGGCAGCCCAGCCCCAGTGATGTAGAGGATATAGAGCTGCAATTTTCGGACCAGGAGTTGAATATGGTCTTTTCTGCATTTGCTAATCTCAATGGAGTTATGCAATATATAATCCTTGCATTTGATATAGTGCCTTATATTGTCGAGACATCTTAAAGTGCTTCACAGGATATACTGTAAAGTGGCGTGACTGAATATTGTGGGTGAACATGGCAGGCAATTTGCACACAGCAAAGGAGTGAGTCAAATTGTATAATGGGGGATTGTTGGCAAAGACACTAGGAGAAACTCTCTTCTATTTTCAAATAGTGCCAGCGGATCTTGGAACATCTACCTAAACAGGCAGACAGGACCTTAGTTAAACATCTCATTTAAAGGTGGCACCTGTGACAATGCAGCACACCTCCAGCACTGCATTAGAGTGTCAATCTACAGTCAAGTGTCCCACTGACAAACTTATTTCCAAAGCTCAAAATGGCAGTTGGGTAACAGTAGGACAATCAGCACCTGTACAATCGTACCCCAGCAAGAGGAAGCAAAATTAGAAGCAAAAGGGATATGCCAATGGGAAGAAAATGAGAAAAATAATTGTACATATCAAATTTTTAAAATCTCAGACCTCTCCTTGTACTATGCTGCTTTGTGACATTTTTCAAGGAGTTGGCTGTGTCCCAGAATAACCTCACTGAGATTAACATGGTTGGTAGATTTGGATTGGTCTGGGCACAACATCAGGAGAGCATTGCGTAGGTAATTATGCAAAAATAGCAGACAGGGCTGTGCTTTCTGGAGTCAGGCAGCCACAATCTACTCCATTGTGTTTGCCACTGTTTATTGCTGATAAATGCCACCTATTTCCTGGAATAATAACAACAAAATTACATTTGTATAGCATCTTTCACATTGGGAGCATGTCCCAAGGCGCTGGACCTGAGCTGGGGGATGGGATCGGGGAGGTTGGAGGGCAGGGGGGATGAAGGGTGATCGGGCATGGTCGAAGAGGAGGGTCTTGAGATGGATCTTCAAAGAGGCAAGGCAGGGGGGCAAGGCGGAGGGACTGCTGGATGGAGTTCCAGAGGGTGGGGGATGAGTGGTTGAAGGCTCACTCGCTGATGGTGCGGCGGGTGAAGTGGGGGATGTGAAGCAGGCCGGAGCCCGCTGTGTGATGGGAAGCCAGTGGGGTCGGTCAGGATGGGGGTGCTAGAGTCACGAAGCTTGGTGCAGGAGAGGACACGGACTGCAGAGTCCTTGGATGATCTGTAGCCTTTGGAGGGAGGAGTTGGGGAGGCCGACAAGGAGGGAGTTTGCATAGTCGAACCTGGATGTTATGAATGTGTGTATGAAGGTTTTGGCGGCCTACAGTGTGAGACAGTGGTGGAGCCGGGCGATGTTGTGGAGGTGGGGGAAGGCAGAGCGGATCATGGCACAGATGTGGGGTAGAAAGGATAGTTGAGGGTCAAACAAGACCCCAAGGTTCTGGACTGGCTTAGTACTGTGGAGTGTGCAACCATGGATGGTGATGCTGTCAGCGCCTGAGGTGAGGAGGCGCTGACGGGAGTCAATCAGGAGAGCCTCGGTCTTGTTGATGTACAACTGAAGAAAGTTGTCTCTCATCCGGGACTTGATGTCTGACAGACATTCTGTCAGGACAGCAGTGGTCCTGGAGTCAAGGGTGGAGGCAGAGAGATAGAGTTGGGTGTTTTGGGTGCATCCGCATACATAGATTCACGAGAATGATACCAGGAATGGGGAACCTTAGCTATGAGGACTGGCTGGAGAAGTTAGATCTTTTCCCATTAGAGCAGAGAAGGTTACGTGGGGACCTGATAGAGGTCTTCAAGATCATGAAAGGTTTCGACAGACTAGATAAGGAAAAGCTGTTTCTGCTGGTCAGTGTGTCTGTGACCTGTGGTCACAGTCTTAAGGTATCTACCAAAAGAAGCAGAGGGGAGGTTAGAAGAAATTTTTTCACTCAGCGAGTTGTTCGAATTTGGAATGATCTGCCTGAAAGGGTAGTGAAGTCCGATTCGATAACAGCTTTTAAGAGAGAACTGGATAGGTATCTGGAGAAGACGGGTTTGCAGAGTTATGGGGAGAAAGCTGTTGATTGGGGTTAGTGGAAGTGACTTGCTCTGTCAAAGAGCCGGCACAGACTTGATGGGCCGAATGGCCTCCTTCTGTGCCGTAACATTCTATGAATCTATGTAGAAGTTGACCCCATTTCTGCAGATGATGTCACCAAGAGGGAGCATAACGATATTGAAGTGGAGGGGACCAAGGACAGAGCCCTGAGGAACACTGCACGAGACGGAGCGGAGGCGAGAGGAGAAAATGTTTCTGGAGATGAAGTAACTAACTAAAAGTACAGGATGAGGTATTGGGTACTCTGTATGAGGATTCTTCGCTAAAGGCAATATATCATTTTATGTGTGTGTTTGGATCAGGTGGTTTCACTCTTGCCTATGTCAAAGTTTGTGGGTTCAGGCCTGAGGTGGGACTTTGAGCTCAGTCTGGTACTTCTGTGCACTGCTACCAGAGTGTTACAATCGTGGATGTTAAAGATTCATGGCTATTCAAAAGGGAGAGGAGTTTTTCTCTCTGTCCTGGCCAACCAACCTCCAGAATAATTGGTTATTCTCCTCATGATCTACCTGTGTGAAGTGCTCTATATAAATGCAAGTTGCTGTTGTTGTGAGCCTTTTGAGACGTTTTGATGACGTGATAAGATGCTATATCAAATGTAAGGATTATTGATATACTATCGAGAAGTATGTCACCTTAATTCAGCTCCAAGGAAATCCTGCTTACCTACCCCCCAAGGAGCTTAGTAATATAAACTCAATACCTTACAACTTATACTCATTGTTTTTCATGCAAGATAAGTGGCTTTAGGCACTTTGATGATAATGGGGAGTACAAATAGGGAGGAGAAGAAGGAGTAGCACTCTCACTCTGAGTTAGAAAGAGACCAAAGGCTCAGTCAATGCAAATTCACGTTCCCTGTCCTTTAAATCCCTCCATGTTCTTGCCCCACCCTACATCTGCGACCTTCTTAAACCCTTCTGACCCACCTGACCCTCTGCTCAGCAGGCACTGGTCTGCTTCCCATCCACCGCCCTGCCCACTCTGCCATCAGTGGTCGGGCTTTCAGCCTTTGATACCGTGGACCACTCCACCCTCGTTCACCGCCTCTCCTCTCACCTCAACCTTCAAAGTTCTGTCCCTGAATGGTTCAGGTCTAATCTCACACTGTTTCCAATTTGTCTCCACCAAGTTTCTCTTCCAGTCCCCGGTGTTCTCTGGAACGGTTGTGCAGTGTTCTTTGGAACTCCATACCGCAGTCCCTCCGCCTCGACCCCTCCCTTGCCACCTTCAAGATCCGTCTCAAGACCCTCCTCTTCAACCATACTTTCAATCTCCCTGCTTCCCTCCATCCTCCCCAACCCCCAGCTCGGGTCCGTAACTTTGTCTGTCCAGCGCCTCGGGACGTCCTCCTGATGTGAAAGGCGCTATACAAATGTAATTTTATTGTTGTTCCTCAGGGCTCTGTCCTTGGTCCCCTCTTCAACCTGTACATGCTCCCTCTTGGTGACATCATTCGCAGATGGGGTCAACTTCCACATGTTACGTGGATGACACCTACCTCTATCTCTCTGCCTCAATTCCAGAACAACTGACGTCATTACATCAAGTCCTGGGTGAGAGCCAACTGAGCCTTTGCACATGCAGGCGAGCCCAAGCCTCTTGCTAACCTGCACCTAATACCTAATAGAATTAAGTAAGCATAGTGTCCTCCCAACGTGAAAGGCGCTATACAAATTTAATTGTGGAGGGGTCGAGGATCACACAGAAGGCTCAATCAAGCCAGCTGAGCGAAGAGAGCAGGTAAAGGAATGGGGTGAGAGCCTATTGGGGAAACCTCACACAAAGAAATCCAGAAGCTGGTTAACTAAATGGAGTAGACAGGAAATTGCATATTGTTAAACTCTTTATTTGGGTTTACTTCAAATAAAAGTCACACACACAATCAACAGAGGCTCCCATTTGCTCAATCATTTGATAAATTCACAGCAAAAGACTTGTAAAGGCACTTTTGCAACAAACAAATAATATTAAAATAATGTTTTGTATTTGCAGTTTGCTCATTCACATTATCTAGACCAACCTTTAAAAAATAAAAATTGTGCATTGAGAAACTGGAACAATAATAATAAATGTTTTCTAATTGGTATATTTTCTGAAATAATTGCAAATGTAATATCAAAGCCCCAAAACAGTGCAATAATCAAGCCTTTAGATACAAGTTTCATTCCTTTTTAGATACAGTGCAATAACAACCCACAAGTGGAAGCACATTTAAACCATGCCCTAAGCAAATTGTGACAAGTTATACAATATAGTACTGGTCTATGCACACCAAGTGAAAGCTAAGAAAATACCATGTCATTCTCATTTATATATTAATCAATATATTCTAACCCATGAACTACATTTTTCCAACAATTATTTCTTTGTTCTGCCCCTTATGATTGTTTTGAAACTTTATATCCCAGAAACAAATGAGAAAGCTTGAATGTTGCTGAATATTTATGTGTACCACTGTGCTCCATCTTTCATAGACTTGATCGTATTAAAACTTTGAAAAAATATTGAATGGAAGCCAAGGCACTATCTTTTGTTCTGCTCTTGTTTTATTCACCCTATGTCTTTCAAGTAATTTCACAAAGTTAAAACTAAACTTTTATAAATTTATACATGACGAATTCAATGTTCTTCACAAATTCTGTTCAAGTAAAACCAGTGTTGATGAGCTGAGGTGAGGTAATGAGATTCATTTTAAGTTTACTTTTTAGTTTTTAGATACAGTAGCATTAACAACCCACCAGTAAGTGCACATTTAAACCCCACCGCATACATCTCCTCCAGGATAGAGAATTTGTTTAACTAGATACTAATTTCACCAAAAATAACTAAATGGAAATATTCCAACCAGTGCAAGTGTGAAAATCATTTCATACCTGATTTTTTAAAAAATAGTTGAAACTCTACAATTTCAGTCAGGCTCCCTTATTATAAACTAATTTCATAGCGCTATATCAAATGCAAGGATTATTATTATATCTAACCAATAATTGAAAATTGAACTGATTTGTAGTTCCAATTAAGTTTTTGAAAAAAGTAAAAATTATTGACCATTTTGCCTTATAGAATATAATAATAATCCTTGCATTTGACATAGCACCTTATCACATCTTCGAGATGTCTCAAAGCACTTCACAGAATATACTGCAAAGTGGATTGACTGTATTGCGGGCAAAATGCGAAAAATATTCTCACTTTTTAAAAAGCATCGACTTCTATAACTATTTGTACCCCTATTATTGATGTTGCAGACATCCATTTTAAAGCTTCTTTAAAATATCTACTACATCTAGTACAGACATCACACTATAATCGGGTATCACATCTCCTTTAGGCTTTTGATTGGTTGGGTTTATCCAGATAGTTGCACAGAGACCTGCGTTCACACCTCCTTGGATGTCAGTGTTTAGATTGTCCCCAACCATCACACAGGCCTCAGGCTTCACTCCCAAGATGTTCCAACATTCCTGGAATATGGAACGAGCTGGTTTCTGCTCCGGATATTCACCACCTACAATAATTGCATCAAAATATTGCTGACAAGAGCAGGCCTCAATCTTTTCTCGCTGTACCTCAGCAGGCCCATTGGTTAATAAAAGCAACTTGTAAGACTGCCGAAGTGCAGTCAGCATAGCCTTCACTTCATCTGTGAAGTGGATATGTTGGAGCCGTGTATTTCTCCAAAGAGAATAACATTCAGAGGCTAAAACGGGATCTGGTTCACCTCCTTTGGTTTCTTGTATAGCCTGTTCGAAGTGTAATTGTCTGAGCTTTTTGACGTCTTGCTTCATAGAGGACTCGAAATGCTGCTTTAATTTGGTATTAAACTTCTGGATCACTGTGTCCGCAGCAGAATCTTCATAACGATATTTAAATTTTAGAAGGGTTTTAACCTGTTATACATAAAAAAATTACAGAGTATTCATATTTTATAACATTGGTGAAAATTCTATTCCTTCTACCACAGAAATCTTAAAACAGGTCTGCAACTCTGCCAACCCCACTTTTGCTACCTTCAAACGTTAAAGGCAATAACTTAACTTTTTGCATATATTACAAATAAAATTAGAGATTCTCCCATTGTCCCGATCAAAAATCCTCCAGATAAATTGATTATTAGAACTTCAAGCTCAGAGTGTAGGGCTAACACTCCAGTGTGGTCAGGATTGGTGTGGTCACTCCATACTATCAGGATTCTGCCTTTTGGTTTAGACGTGAAATCAAGACCCAATCTTCCTGTTCAGATGAACATTAAAGATCCCATGGCACTATTCAAAAAGAAATGAGGTTCTCCCAGTGTCCTGACCAACAATCCCCGGGATAAAATTAATTATTCACTTCCTGGTTGTTTGTGGGACAAATTGTCTGCAGAGTTCTGCTACAAATAGTAATCCTTGCATTTTAAAACAACGCCTTTCAGGTCAGGAGGACATCTCAAAGAGGGTTACAGAATAGAACTACAAATTACATTTCTACTGTAAAGTGCAATGAGGATATATTTTGTAGGCAAACCCAGCAGACAATCTGCACATAGCAATGTCCCACCTAAAGCTATGAAGTGAGAAACCAATTTATTTGGGCGATTGTTGACCAGGAAACACAGAGAGAAATGCCTTTCTCTTTTCGAAAAACACCATGGGATGGATTTTAATATCTCCCTGTACCTGCCATGTGGTCTACTGTGTGCTCTCTCTCAGCCTCTCGCACACTCTTGGTATCCCACCTCTGTGACATGTGGCTGGTGAGTGTCTACTCTCAGTGGCCCCGGTGTGGCTGGTCAGTGTGTAGCTCAGGGGCTGCGGTGTGGCTGGTCAGTGTGTAGCTCAGGGGCTGTGGTGTGGCTGGTCAGTGTGTAGCTCAGTGGCCCCGGTGTGGCTGGTCAGTGTGTAGCTCAGGGGCTGCGGTGTGGCTGGTCAGTGAGTAGCTCAGGGGCTGTGGTGTGGCTGGTCAGTGTGTAGCTCAGGGGCTGCGGTGTGGCTGGTCAGTGTAGCCCGGTGTGGCTGGTCAGTGTGTAGCTCAGTGGCCCCGGTGTGGCTGGTCAGTGCGTAGCTCAGTGGCCCTGGTGTGGCTGGTCAGTGTGTAGCTCAGTGGCCCCGGTGTGGCTGGTCAGTGCGTAGCTCAGTGGCCCCGGTGTGGCTGGTCAGTGTGTAGCTCAGTGGCCCCGGTGTGGCTGGTCAGTGTGTAGCTCAGTGGCCCCGGTGTGGCTGGTCAGTGTGTAGCTCAGTGGCCCTGGTGTGGCTGGTCAGTGTGTAGCTCAGTGGCCCCGGTGTGGCTGGTCAGTGTGTAGCTCAGGGGCTGCGGTGTGGCTGGTCAGTGTGTAGCTCAGGGGCTGCGGTGTGGCTGGTCAGTGTAGCTCAGGGGCTGTGGTGTGGCTGGTCAGTGTGTAGCTCAGTGGCCCCGGTGTGGCTGGTCAGTGTGTAGCTCAGTGGCCCCGGTGTGGCTGGTCAGTGTGTAGCTCAGGGGCTGTGGTGTGGCTGGTCAGTGTGTAGCTCAGGGGCTGCGGTGTGGCTGGTCAGTGCGTAGCTCAGTGGCCCCGGTGTGGCTGGTCAGTGTAGCTCAGTGGCCCCGGTGTGGCTGGTCAGTGTGTAGCTCAGGGCTGCGGTGTGGCTGGTCAGTGTGTAGCTCAGTGGCCCCGGTGTGGCTGGTCAGTGTGTAGCTCAGGGGCTGCGGTGTGGCTGGTCAGTGAGTAGCTCAGGGGCTGCGGTGTGACTGGCTCTGGTGGTCAGTGTGTGGTGGTCAGTGTGTGCTGGTCAGTGTGTGGCCGGAGTGTCTGACCTCTCTCTCCGCGGTGTGACTGGCTCTGGTGGTCAGTGTGTGCTGGTCAGTGTGTGGCCGGAGTGTCTGACCTCTCTCTCCGCGGTGTGACTGGCTCTGGTGGTCAGTGTGTGGTGGTCAGTGTGTGGCCGGAGTGTCTGACCTCTCTCTCCGCGGTGTGACTGGCTCTGGTGGTCGCTATCAGGGTATCGTCCAAGTCAAACAGCAGCGCGCGGACCCCGGAACCGGCGTGAACCGCCATCAGCCCAACGTCAAAGCCGCCAACCTAACCTGCTGGGCACTCAGAGTGATGGACACTGCGCCGCAGCCAATCCCGGTCCACACCGGCCGCCTTTTAGCCAATAGCCGCGTGGACTGGGGCGGGACATCCGCCCACTAAGTTCGGTTGCCCGGGGACCTGCTGGCATGTGGCCGGATGGGGCGGGTTTCACGCCCAATTGAACGGGTTTTGGTTGTATTGGGCGGGGAAAATGGCTTTGGGCTTTTGTCTAATTTTTTTAAAAAAATAAATAAACCCGCAAAACGTTTGTTTCCCCCACGCATTTGAAGCCCTTCTCTTACACAGTTTCAAAAGCAGTGACTCAAATTGGCCACTCTGCTACCCATTGATAATATTGGGCTACTTCTGGGCCAGTACTGGTGGACTTTGGGCTATAAACAGCATTGTAATGTGTGGCCACGAGTTCACTCCACACCTGACCCTCTGCTCAATAACACTCTCTCCAGCTTCACAATGACATGTAATCCCTTTTGCAAAATGTATTTTCTTTCCTGGACTGCAATTTGCAGAATGCCGCTGCGTCCGGCGGTGGCTGGCTGGCGCTTAGAAGGTGTTGTTTATATTTATATTTGTTTGTTTGCTTGCTCAATTATTTTGTGTTTTTGTTTGTTTATTTCAGTATTCCCTGTTTAAACTGACAAACACATGGTTAAACTTCTTCTTGGTTGGTCTCAGAGCGCTTATAATAATAATAATAATCCTTGCGTTTGATATAGCGCTTTTCACGTCAGGAGGACGTCCCAAAGCGCTTCACAGAACACACTGTAAAGTGAATTGACTGTATATTTGTGGGCGAACGCGGCAGCCAATTGCGCACAGCAATGTCCCACAAACAGTCGTAGATTGAAAATGACCAATTTATTATTGTTTTTGGTTTTGGAGGGATTATTATTAGGCTCTGTGTGGAGTAAGGAAACTTGCCCAAGGTTTCGCCCTCTGCCTGGAATTGAACTCAGGTCTCTCGCTTGCAAAGCGAGGGCTCTAACCACTGAGCTACAGGACTCCAGGGAAGGCATGCGGAATCCAGGGAAGGCAGCTGTCCATCCCAAACCTCAGAGATTCCTCATCGACTATCTGGCGTACATCTCCTTCAGTGTGGTGGGATGACCTATCCAGTGCAGCTTGTGCCTCCTTGATGTTCTAGAGGTCCAAGTCCAATACCATATACCAGACTTATTCAACACCAGCTACTTAATCCAGGTTCTCATGTGAGGGACTTTGGTCAGTAGACTTGCCCGCTGTGAACCGGACTCCACTTCCAGGCTGCTCAGGAACAAGCCTTTCTCCCTATAGCTATTTTCTCTTTTTTTTAACCATAAATCTTCCTCACTGTTTACAATACAATACAAATTTACATTTATATAGCACTTTCACATCAGGAGGACATCCCAAGGAGCTTAGTCCTGGACTGTAAATGGGCCAAAGTAAACAAAGTAAAAAGTATGTTTTGGAGCTTAGAATCATGAAGGAGATCTGTTTGGATACGCACCTTAAAAAAAACAACAATTTTATCTTAATATAGTGCTTTTCACATTGGAAGCATGTGCCAAAATATTTCACAGCATTGAACTAGGGGTGGAGGGAGCTGTGGAAGGCGGATGGAGTAAGATGACTAAATGTGCAGTTGAAAAGTTAGTTCTCAAGTTGCGCTTTAAAAATAGCGGAAGTGCAAACAACAACAACTTGCATTTATATAATGCCCTTCATGAGGGGTAGCGACCAGGAGAGCTTCACTGTGGTGGAGTCTGACAACGAGCCAGGGGGAGAGGGAGTGGGGGATGACCGTAAGTGTGATCAAAAAGGTTGAGCAAAGTGGAGGGACTCCAGGATGGAGTTCCAGGGAAGCGGGCAGAATAGCTGAAAGCTCGCCCACTGATAGTGGGATGGGCCAGGCAGTCGGACATGAAGCAGGCCAGTATTCGCTGAGCAGATGGAACAGAGGGGATTGAGTGGTTTAGACCACAAGCTTAACTAACCTGCATTGAGATTCTGCTGTCACTGAAAAGAGACTTTGCCATGTCTCGGTGCAGTTCCATTCGAAGGACAATGTCCAAGCAAATGTTGGTATCCAACAAACCCATATATTAATATGAGCTAACAACTGGAATGGATAACCCTTGTATCTTCCAGTCACTATTCTCAAAGTCCCCTCTTGAATGGTGAGTACCATGCACAAGATACCCAGGTATCATTTGCCAGTAACAGTATCATTTCAAAAAAAAAGTGCCACAATTCTATCATAAATACTGGAAACAGATACATCAAATGCTTACCTCTACGTGCCATCTAATGCATAATTGATGAATACATTGATTAAGGTTGTATTAAAGTTGGACAAAGGATTAATGTAAACACTGAAATCAACAAAAGAGCTGACCAGCAAAATACATTAAAAATTCTGATAAGGAAAACCATCAGGATCAGATGTTTTACCTTTTTTACTTTAGCAAGCTTTTACTAGCTTTAACTATTTCTTCCATGTGGATACCTTGCTCTGTAACTATTCTGACTTCGTTGGTAATGCCGCAATTAAATGCTTGCCAAAAATACTGCTCATTTCTGGGCTGGATTCCAATACTTGGAGGCATAAAGTTATTCATCATATCCACGGATGCATTGATTTTTGAATGGCCCAAGTTGTTTGTCTGCCTGATTTTAAGGATTAGTCTGGTTTGTCTCAGTCTATGGTCTGATAGTCTAAGCTGATTACAGCATTTATAAAGCAACAAATAAAGTGGAGTGATCTTTGCATTTTAGGCAATAGAGGACATGCAGCTTGCCTCAGGCCAAGATTACCTAAACTATACTGTCATTCATTAAATTGAACTCAAAAATTTTGCTAAACTTCCCAAGCTTCAAAGACTGATATGTAGCCTGCTCTTTTTTTAATCTTACCGAGTGCGTATGAAATAATGTATTCTCTGCAGTTGTGCAGCAGCAAAGGCCTCTGGAGTATCAGTAATATGTGATGTGACATGGTAAGGATTGGAGCATATTTTCTCCCCAATCTGTGGAACTCGTGATCTGAGAGGTGCTAAATTTTATTTGTTTCCTCGAGTTTTGAGGGAAAAATTGGATTGCATTGTTGCCACTACACTACTCCCTGTCGGCTGAGGAAGGGTGACACTGGCTTGTGAACAGTACTGGGACATAGATAAAGTCAAAATCCCAATATAGGCTCTTTCATTCTGATATTTCTTGAATATAAAAGTTGTATTGCACTTTACATCTGGGCATTCATCCAGTTTCAATCCTGAGTGTTTTAATGTTTGGCAGTCCATCAGGCCAGAAATTAAATCACCAAGTATTAAAAGGTGACCAATGCAATGATTGAAATCTTCCATTCTGTTCTTCACCTTCAAAGCCCTTCATGGCCTTTCTCCTTCCTACCTCTGCGACATCCTAACCTCAAACCAACCTGTCCGCTCCCACTGCTCAGCTGACTCCGGCCTGCTTCACGTTCCCCGCCTTGTCCGCCCCACCATTGGTGGGCAAGTCTTCAGCCTCCCTGCCCCCACCCTCTGAAACTCTATCCGGCAGTCCCTCCGCCTCACCCCCTCCTTTGCCTCCTTCAAGATCCACCTCAAGACTCTCCTCTTTGACCGTGCCTTCAGTCACCCTCCTACCACTACCCTCCCCACACTCCACCCTCCTACCACCACACTCCCTGCCCTCCTGATCCCAACCACCAGCTCGGGTGCGGATCCTTGAGTGTCCAGCGCCAAGTGACTCCTCTCTGGGTATCTGCAATCTCTTATCTCTGAGATTGGATACTCTTTCTATCCAACTTTAAACTGCTAACTCACTCATTCTCACGCACACTTTATCTGTTCTGATTTTCCAAGATGGTAAAGGTAATCAAAAGTTTAGATTTGGGGATTGGGAAGGTGCCCGCATCAGGTCCCCTGGGATCTTGTTAACTGCTAACTCACTCATTCTCACGCACACTTTATCTGTTCTGATTTTCCAAGATGGTAAAGGTAATCAAAAGTTTAGATTTGGGGATTGGGAAGGTGTCCGCATCAGGTCCCCTGGGATCTTGTTATGCCACTGTTAGTACATGTGTAAAGCTCGCCTATCTGGCACCCAATTTTCTTTGATTTTTAAAATGATATTAAAGAGATGTTTGTTTTACCATTGACCCAAGAATCTTTAATCTGAATTTTTCCAAGTTAAAATGTTCTTCTGAAATTGGCTGAAATACAAAAATCAGAGGGGAATAATCTATGCTATGTCAATTCAATACCGTTTTTGTATCAAATCGATGTTTAAAGTGTAGAATAGATTAAAATTGAAATACATTGATTCTGAGCCTCGACTGCCCCTTCAGTCACTCTCCCACCCCTACCCTCCTGGTAAGATAAAAGATTGTGCAAAATACAACAACAACAACAAAATTCCATTTATTGAGCGCCTTTCATGTTGGGAGGACGTCCCAAGGCGCTGTACAGTTGGGTCAGGACCCGAGCAGAGGTGAATGGTCAGGGTGAGGGGAGGGAAGGGAGGGAGCGAGGAGGGGGTAGAGAGTCGAGAGGAGAGCTGAAGGCACGGTCAAAGAGAAAGGTCTTGAGACCGGCCTTGAAGGAGGAAAGGGAGGAGGCGGCGAAGGCACTGGGGGATAGAGTTCCAGAGCCTGGGGCTGAGAGGCTGAAGGCCCGGCCACCGATAGTAGGGCGGTTGGGGCGGGGGATGTGGAGCAGACCGGAGCCAGAGGAACGGAGGGTACGGGCAGGTAGGTAGGGGGATAGTAGGTCGGAGAGGTAGGAGGGAGCAAGGCTGTGAATGGCCTTGTAGGTGAGGATGAGGATCTTGAATTCGATCCTCTGGGGGATGGGGAGCCAGTGGAGGCGAGAGAGGGTGGGAGTGATGTGGTCCCGAAGCCTGGTGCGGGACAGTACACGAGCTGCAGAGTTCTGAATGACCTGCAGCTTGTGGAGGGAGGTGCCGGGAAGGCCGGCGAGGAGAGAGTTCCCATAGTCCAGCCTTGAGG